TCGTAAGGCTACAACACTCAATTTAATATCACTCTGAAGCTGTCGCGTTGGCAGCACGTCCATACCCTCATGTCACTATTCTGCATGGGTGAATTTCTGAATTGTATAAACTGCATGCCGTGTCGGTACCTCCAGCTACACCAAACCTCTCTCTTTACGCCGAGGAAAAAAAGATCTCAGCTTCGGAGAAAGTTCCTTCTCGGTTGTCTATCCACAGGTCACAGCTATAGGAATGCTGCAGGTCGTTCACACCTCCGAAGATTGAGAGGAAATTTAAAAAGAAAAAAATAGCCAAAACGGAAATAGGTCACACTGATATACTGCAGGCTTATCGATGATAAAAAAAGTATCGGAGAAGGGTTTACAGTCGTGTACGGCACTGCACGTTGGGTCGATACTCAGTTCACCTGCCTTGCAAATCTGGTTGATAAAAACATCTCTCCTCTACTCAGATGGCAGTTATTGTGTATGCACTTTTTTTTATGAAAGGAAGCTCAAGCGAGGATAATTTACTTTACTGGACATTACCATACCAGCTTGATATGTGCTCAAAATAGATCAACGTGACCATTATTACTTCGTTAATAATGGACAGAGAGCAATTTTTAGGCAGATTTTTTTCAATGAGCTAGATTTTGGGTTATTATACATGTAGAGAAAATCCCTTAACTGGTAAATGTGCGCGAGTAGACATCACATCAACGTCACTCACATTTACCAGGAGTAGCATGGACTTTGTTAAAAGGAAATGGATATTTTAAATAAAAAGGGTGTATAATTAATTAGGAAATATACAGGGTGAGTAAAAAAAAACCCACGAAACCCAAATGTCGGGACCATTGTTTCAGTGAAGTTCTGCATGTAACACTTTCAAAATCTAGGACATGAAAGCCCAATTCATAAGCTTTCTTTTAGCATAAGAATCATTCAAATCACTCATGTACTTTTTAGGTTACGGAGTTTTAAACACAACCGCCGTTTTAAGGTTCTGCCCACGGATCACAAAAAAGTTCAGTGTTCTTTCAGCAAAACGAAAACAAATCACATAAGGATGTGTGTGAATTGTTGCGTTTTGCTGAAAGAACGCACACTTTTTTTTGTGATCCGTGGACAGAACTTGAAAACGGTGAAGTTGTGTTTGAAAGTGATTTGAATGATTCTTGTACTTAAAAAAAAGCTTATGAATTGGGCTTCCATATCCTAGATTTTGAAAGTGCTACGTGCAGAACTTTCCTAAAACAATGGTCCCGACATTTTTTTTTTTTTTACTTACCCTGTACAGTTCAGAGGAATGGATATTTGCTCCAGGGAAAATCGATTGCATTCGCTGTTTAAGCTTCCGGGGTAAGCCCCAAAAATCCCAATAATTCACTATATTCTCGTATTGGTTTCTTAGATTTATACAATTCGATTTGCAAAGCATTGTAATCCGTTACGCTGAGGAGAAAGCATATACCGGATCTAGGGAGTCGCTGGTATACCGACAATTATTTTAGTAAACAGAAGAAAATCGCATAAGTGCATTTTGGCGCGAACATTGTGTTGACTTGCCCTACTTCAGCTCCACGTGAAGTCTCCAAGAACGCCTTAAGTGCAAGAAGTGTCATTTTGTAATAAATATAGCAGCGGGGCTCGGTCGCGAATGTTGACTAACGGTAATCATTCGTACCAAAGGCGACATTTCGAGAGGCCTAGCTGCAGACCTCAATAATTCATGAATAGAGAGATCTTGAAAAACTCCTTGTCCGTTGTTTTCTCTTGCAGCGAGTTCGGGTGATAAATTCAGCAGACTGTTTTTCAAAAATATTTTGGCTATTTTTTTGTCCAAATAGATATCCTTCTTTGGTTCCGCTTGTATTCACCGTGCCCCACTTTCATGTTTGAACCGTGGATACGAATTCTTTGTCACAACATGTCGTTTTGTTGACACTAAAAGCTTATAATATCCAAGCGTTCATAAAATGGGATAGAAATGCATGTATCGTCTTACGTCTACAGGGTCAGTAAAGAAAAACAATACCCATATGGCAGGACCAAGTATCTGTGCATGTAGCACTTTTAAAATCTAGGATATGAAAGCCATATTAATAAGCTTTCTTTTAGTACTATAATCATTCACACCACTCATGTACTTTTCAAGTTACGGAAGTTTAAACACAACCACCGTTTTAATTTTCTGTCCACGGATCAGCAAAACGAAAACAATTCTCATAGGGATGTATGTTAACTTGAAAAGTACATGAGTGATTTAAATGTTCCTTGTACTAAAAGAAAGCTTATTAATTGGGCTTTCATATCCTCGATTTTGAAAGTGCTACATACAGAACCTCATTTTAAAAAATGGTTCAGACACTTTTTTAATCACTCTGTATATCGTTCTTGTATCATGAAGATTGAGCGTAATTCGTTGGTAGAGCCCCGTTACGGTGTTCCGGATGTGACAGACTCCAATCCCTCCCCCCCCCCCCCCCGCCCGTTTTCTTATTCAACCTCATATTAATTGAAAGAGAATGAAGCCGCTTTCCCCTGTAGCCTGAGTGGTTTGATACGAAGATTAAAGTTGTACAATTCGTATTTGCAGCCATGCTCAAACCTTTCGCTTTAGTGCCAATGTTTGCGTCGTTCTATACACTAGACATTTTTGAGAGACTCTCAATATTCTTATCAATATATCAAACTTGTCAATATATCAGCCTTTAATTAGTGATTGTATCGGTTCTTCCTTCCTTGGTCTGTATTCTAGCAACAGATGAGACTATGCCGAGACTAGTATGTATAGCTTAGTCCAGTCGGCGACAGTTTTTGAGAGCGTATAAACCAAGCGATACAAGACGCTATGAGGAAAAGTCATAATCGTATTTTAATGTGAACTATTTTAATGATAAGCTGATTATGTCACATCATCTTCATTTATGGCCTGCTTTATCTGTAATTCTAAATTCCCATCCTGCCTAAAGGCTTACACTCTGGAAAACCTGAGAAAGAAAATGAAGATGAGAGGTCATATCATTGTATAATATGCATCCCCAAGGCGCAAAAATAATAAGTCGTACTAAAGTACCTTGTCTCGGTTGCAAGTCGTGTTGGTAATCGACCCTTGAACGACGCCGACAGACCCCGGGTTGGAAGTGCAGAAGCCAACTTAGAGTGTTGAAAGGTTTAGCTGAAATTAGCATCAAACCTGACAAAACTGACATGTCATATTTTTCAAGTGCAGTTAGATATCTCTATACGTGCCTTATAAGTCACGGACTTGATTTGCTGGTTTTGTCCGGGAGCGATGTCAACACATTTCTAGAAATGAACACCATTTGCGAAGTGACAGCGCGCAAATGGCGCAACGCGCGGCAAAATATATACGCTATTCAATAAAAGCTTCATTTGCCAACGTTGAAATCAGATGGATATTATTTCCTAAAAACAAAACGATTTTCCCTTTCATCATTAACGGTTTTTCATTTGGCATTGTCACGCGATACATGTATGATGATAAAATCTTTACCTTTAGATACGTCTTGAGAATGATAAAAACATTCGTGTCTTACTAAGCCCCGGACTGTATAACCAACTTGATACACCGTAACTTTGAATGAGGTACTCTTTTGCAATCTTTTACCTAGTTTTTGTGTTAAGTGCATTTCATTGATTTCTATTCTTTACCGCTTGCTCTTTTCATGCAATCGTCAATATCTTTATGCCAATCACTGCTACTTTTTTTAAGTGACTTCTGCATTTTCGTCTTAATTAACTCATCCATTTTCCCCTTGGCTCTTCGCCTATTTCCCGCAGCCACCAGTACCCCAATTCAGCGTCGACTCGGTCTCCTCTGTTCTCGCGCATGCATTCTCGTACAGTGTTCGTCATCGCCACATAGCGACTATCGAATTTGTCATGATTTTGCCCTGTCTTCCCGGCCCCGTTCGTTGGAAACTTAATTATGTTTACCTCTACCCTACGTGTTTGTTGGCCAGATTAATGACTGATTTCCTCTCCTACTCTCTTCTTGACAATTCGTGCTCGCACTCGCAATGGCAGCACCTCCCATATTCCTCCCGAATTCGGAATTTATTGTCTTCGAGATTAGGTAATATATCGCGATATTTGCCCGCTTCCTTTCTGAAACGGGGCATGGTCACGTAGTAACAATACGCCACCTAATGTATGTTTGTTCCCATTATAATGCCAGCCATTTTTCTCCCCCAGGGTTTTTGGAGAGGAAAACTGTGTCTGCCATAGATCGTATTGATTCACTCTCCCAATATGTGTCGGTTTTACCTTGGCCATATATGGCCATCTCAATCTCATCATGACGTCATGGACGGCAACTTGGCAGCTGAAATAATACCTTGGCATTGCCATAAGAACATGGCCACTTCACTTTGGCAGTAAGGAGGCTAGATATACCATGACTATGTACTGAAGTAGTGTCAAACATACAACATGCATTCGGAATGAGATACAATATATCATCCAATGAACATTGAAATCTTACCCATCAGAGTACCAACTCGAAATTCAAGCAGTTTGAAATTACAGTTAGAACTAGAGTGCCTTTTTAAATCTCGAAAATGATCGAACAATTTAAAAAGACTTAAGCGAGTTCTGAGGTATTCTCAACCGGCGTCTTGCAGCTTTCAACGTTTTTTTTTATCAGGAAACTAAATGACTTAGTTTTCATAAAAAAATGACCTACCATTGCCATAGCAACCATAACGACCAGGACTGGGAGATGAATCCACTTAAATTCTCCTAAGAAGGGAAAGCAAGAAAGTCAGCGAATCCAGCTGCACGATTTTGAGAACGTTGCACTCTGGCGGAAAGTACAGTGCGTGCGAGATACACTTCAAGCCAGGTATAGGAGAATGACATCACCACACAGACAGACTCGTGAGATGAAGATGTTAGATGGCTTATCGCGATCTAGAATGTTACAGTAATGTGAATTCAGGCGACGAGCAGTATAACATAAACCATGAAGAAATACAAGAATAAGATTAATCTTGTAATCTTTTACATGCAGACATTTCTTTATTTGTTTCTTTGGTCAACACTGATTTCATAACAAAATCTCCAACCTTTAGTGCGCCAACTTGAACTTTTTCCCAACCTGTGGTTTAAAATAGCACTTATAAATGTTAATCTCTGAAAAATTTTATTCACAAAAAATTCGAAATAATGAAATCCGAAAATTAACTTTTCTGACGCATCCACACAAACAGTGTTCATAACTTAATAGTAGCCATTGTTCTCAGAATGCCTTTATATAAGCAACTTGCGTATATCAAAAGCCACACTTTAAAAATGTTTTTTTTTTGCAAAGGAGGCTTTTCAGTAGAACAGTCCACCACCGGCACCCTGACCTTAATCCGTTTTTTCTCAATGACGACAGAAAACAAGGAGAGCGGATTATAACAAGATCGTTATCAGAGTTTTTACCTCAACCTCGACCCAAGATGTCCTCAGCTGTGAACGCACAAAGATATCCAGCGCGCTGAGAGCAAGGGTAGTGGATTCCAAAGCCGGTTTCTACAGGATTTTAAAATCCACTGAAATTTAAATTTCAGAGAGGTTTGGGTACCCGAGGTCCCAAAACTTCAGCAGGTACATCACTTAATCTGAAACTTATATTAAGACGGTTCGGATTGAATAAAACAAAGTTTCCCGATAACCAAACCGGGATAAAGTTACATTGAATATGAAAATAGTTTTCGCATTACTGAATGTCTTTTTACAAATACCAAATCTGCAAGTTCCAAGATGTTTTCACGACACTTTCAAAGATCTGTTTCCCCCGTGCTTGGATACAATGATTAAAATAACCACAGATGTTTATGTAGCCTCGCCAGTCATCATATAAATGGCCCGCGCGGGAGCGATGATTAAATCTGTAACTCAAGAAAAAGATGAACTTGCACAAAGTACACTTTGTCTTGGGATATGAAATGCACTGAATAGGAGTGCCTACGGTGTATTATTGTACGGTAACTAAACACACATGGAAAACAAACACAACGCCGACCGACGAGAAACCTGGCAAACGCGGAAAAACAGAAACGGGTTTAGTTACTCGTGGTTGGGCGGGAATTTGGCCCTCGCCGTCATAAGCGGGGAAATCTTGAACAGGAAACTCGGCATTGAAACGGTAGAGAGTTGATTATTAGCACAGTACTACTGGTGATAGGTTGCTAGAATACCTCACTCGTCAGGACGAAAACTGATGCCGTGCCAGAGGTCTGTACAATAACCCAACCAAGACACGTTCGAATAATAAAACTTGGGTGAAACCCCATGGCATAGGGTGTACTTGAGTTTTAATAGGCCAGGACATAGGCCTTATCACAACAGTCAACTGCTAATTTGATCTGGAGATTGCACACCAAGCGTCGAAGCCAAGAGAACTCGCACGCACACTGCATTTCAATTGGTAATAAGTCAATTTTAAAACACTGCAATCGGCACAGCAAAGGCACCTCCAGTCGATCTAATGCAATTAACAACTCTAAGAGCTAATATCGGCCCGGGCGATTCTTATTGAATACAGCTTTGTAAATGACAATATAGAGGCGGTTTTTATTAGGGAGATCAAAGAGGAATCAGATCAAACAAGTGTTTCAGCTGTAACCGCGTTACAGACAATTCTTTTGTTCGTCAAACGGGCCTTGGGTAGCGGTGTTTTCTCTAACGCCTTCTTCATCAGAGGTGAAGCGGCCTTAAGTTCTGCTTGCGTGGGCGGAGCAGGTTGCGAATCATCTCTGCCCTCAGGATCTTCCTCACACTTCACATAACCTCCATCGCTGTCACTTGGGGTACTGGCTTTCTTAGTGATGGATTTCTTACGTTTGCAACCCCTGTTTTTGTCTTGGGACTCTCTTCGCTTGGGATCCGTTAAAGCTCCTTGTCTTTTGGTTTGTGCTTTGGATTCTGATGCTACTGGAGTCTTGGGTCTGCCTGGAAGCCTTGCCACTAGCTTGGTGTCACTTGAGGTTCGCTTTCGAGTCTTGGTGGGCCGTCTTGGGCTCAGGGAGGGGTTATCGATGCTCTTTCGTTTAGATATCTTCAGTTGACGTCTCTTGGACAGAATCTCACAGTCTTTCGGCATAGGCTGCCGAGTGTTCCTGGTGTTCTTGGCGTCTTTGTGAGTTTGTGTAGACGTCCTGATGCCGCCTTCATCTGGTTGGTCTTTGTCCTTGCCTCGTGAATTCTCGTTTCTTGGGGAGATGTGCAAGCCATCCATGAAATGGTTCAGATTGACTGAATCAATGGAATCAGCTTGTCTCCATGTTGGGATGGTGACGACTTTACTGATAGGCGCGTATTTTGTGATACGCGTTGGCGCCAAAACTAATCTCTTACGGTTTCCCGACTCCCCACTGCGGTAGTTGAAGTGACCAGCAAAGTTTTCGGATGGGGTATCTGACTGTTTGAATGTCAAATTGACTGTGTGTGCGGTGGAAAATCTACGACCGTTGCCTGCAGTTCTGGAGTTCACATGCATATCTGAAGTGTTTGTCGTAACTTTCTTGGATGCATCTCTCCAGTCGTCTTGAATCTTTTCCGTTGTTTTGCTTCTTGTATTGGTCAATTTCAGTGCATCCATGTTTGACTGAAAGTTGGATCTCTTTTGCTCCATGTTATAATGTGTCGTATTTCTAGATTGGCGATGTAAGGCGTGTGTTGGGTTGATTCCTTCTTTGGATGACGTAACAGTGCTCTCCTTGTTCTTTTCTGGTGATGACGTCAAGTTTTTCTCAGTAATCATGGGTTCATCAGAGGATTTTAAATCGTTCTGATTTGTTTCCTCATCAGGTTGACCTTTGGTGCTGCTCTGGTCCTTGAGGGCGCCCTCTTCTGTTTCCTGCTCTAGTAACAGCGCCATTTTGAAATGAAGACTGCCGTTTTTTCGACCGGCAAGCTCCATAGCCGTCTGCACATGGAAAAGATAAGAAAAAAGAAACCACGTTTTTCCCCCTAGCATTTCATATGTCACGCAATTGTATGTCACTTTATGCAATCGTTACATTCATCTTAATAAAATCTGATTTCAATGTAATTGCTGGCGGGGGCCGATATAGTGAACGTTGAATGACCGCCTGATCTGATGCGGTAAAAGCATCCCGAGTCGGAGATTATAATCAAGTATCGAATGTCACATTGATGTGACAACCACAAAGAAATCCACGAGGGAGTGAATATTCCCGTCAACTAGTAAACTTCTTGAAAAATAATGCTCTGCGAATCTACAATGCACGTAATGCATTGTCGAGTCACTGTACTTAAAAAGTCACGATTTAATATGGCACAGCACACGTCACGTCTTGATCCATCGATCTCAAACAAGTTATGATAGGTGCAGGTTACAAAGAGCCTGACAAGTCACTGATGGCTTGGCAATGATTATCACAATTCCAAGGCTCCAGAAATTAAAGTTGCATTCCCCGTTCTCTTCAAACAAATAATTTTTCCCTAACGAATTTTCAATTTGTATACATTTAGTTTTAACAAAAATAACTACTTTATTTTAATTTTTGGCGTCTGCAACCCTCTGAAAAGGGCTTTCGTTCTGCGCACAAATGAACCCGCTCTGCAAGATCCAAATTAGTGTCTTGCAGCAAATAATTCGAATGTTGTAAAGACATAATTTGATAACTAAACGTCGGTGGATTTTTTTTTCGTTCGACTTACGAAGTGAATAACTTTATATTGCTAGGAAAATAGTAATTGAAAAAAACAAATTCGAGATGAAACTCGACATTAGCACGGGAATAACATCTTTAAGCAGGCTCAGCGGGTGCTTTTGAAGATAAATTATGTTTTTTTTCTTCGTGCCTTCAGGCACTTGAACCACTTATAACGTATACTAAATGCAAGATGATAGTATACTGCAAATACATGTAGAATGATTTATGATGTCTCCTTTCCCGTAAATGATTCATACTGCACTTTACTCACGGCTTCATCATACAACTTTGGACCACTAATCCCAGAGTCCTTTGCGTCTCTTCCTGCTCCCTCGTCGACGGCTTCAAGTTTCTTCAACATCTTCCGATGCTGTCGGTCGCGCTTGCGCAGTAGAAGGTAGTATATGGCTGAATATTCATCAGCTCGCTTACTGATGACGGAGTTGGTCACGTGGTTGATGTTGTAGCCCATGTTGCTCCATATGTACTCCAGGATGTCGGTCTCAAGTTCCATGCGACTCACGCGGCCGCTAGGGGGCGGGCTCGCAGTGCGAGGTCGGTGGAGGGCGCCCCTGTCCTCGGCGAGCCACCTGTGGTTCATTGTATCAATGACGGAGTATCGCATCCGTGGATCTGGGTGGAGAAGCCTTCGGATGAAATCCTTACAATCTTTGGAAGAGAAAAAAGAGCTAAATTAAGGGACTGTTTCTCCTGTTTCGCATAACGAATTTTTACAGGAAAAAACTTAGGCCTATATCGATGAAGATTCCACAACGCAACAGTGAGAGTGATTATTCAGTTTATACATGTACAAATAAGAAGCACTTAATAACTTAATAACACGCATTAAACTTTGATTGATTATCATATATGAAGCAAGAATGTCACAAGAAAATAATAAAAGTGCATTGACCAAGTGTGAAAAATCTCAGGTCAAAATCTATCCAAAATAATTCAGGATGAAAGATATTATCGGGTGATGGACAACTTATATATCTGTCGGGTAATATCTTCACATCCCATCACGGGTCAGTGCCTGCGTGTCCGCTTGTCAGAGTTATTGTGACATGTTTCTGTACCCGATGACGCAACTGACCAGCACGCATGAATTAACCAACCTCCAAGCGGTTATACGATAGCTCACTAGTACGAACGCCCAATTGTGCCATCAAGTATACATTTTGAAAAAGTGAGGTACATTTTTTTCTAAATTCGTTTTAATGAGATGTATTTTTTCCAAGTTTGTTTTTACGAGAAATAGGCCTATTTCGTGAAACATTTTTTTAAGAGATCTATTTTTGGAAGGAAAACAGATTTTTTTTCGAGTTTATATTTGTTTCCAGTTCGTTTTTACGATTTTTTGAAAAGTTGAACAAAGAAATTGACTGGAGCGGGGCTTGAACCTGCAACCTTCGGATTAACGTTCCGGTGCTCTACCAACTGAGCTATCCGCTCTCCAGCCCTATGTTGGCGGTTCCCCAATTTGTAAACATCTGTGTTCAAGGGCCGCTAGTCAGAAGCCATTAGCCGCATTCAAAGACTGTTAAAGCTATAGTCCATCATTTGCAGCCATCCGAAAAGTAACTGGCGTAATTATTGTTGAAAAACTATTGAAAGATAGTAAGGGAACTAAACTCCCTGTGAAATTATTCTTTCTGGGAAGCTGTCATTTTGAAGTAATCAACGAAAGAAGGCATTTCCAACGGTGATTCTTAAGAAGCACCGTAGGAAAATTTAAATTAGTAGTTCGTTTTGTTATTCAGCGCAGCGCGCACAAGTATTGGAACGACGCACACGCGCGCGCGGTTGTTGTAATTCGTCGGATCAGTGCGCGACGTCGCGTATAGCTGCAATTCAAAACAATTCAAAACATGATTCAGTAACTTTTGATTTGAAATTGAGATCTTAGAATGATGTTTTTCTCGGAATGTACAGCTGAAGCTTAGCTGAAACTTCATCAGGTTAGTTGCTCAGTATCCTTCATTAGATTTTGAACTCTTTTGTTGCTTCAAACGAACAAAATGCACAAATTACAAATGATGGACTGTAGCTGAAAATAAAGATTGCATGCTAAGGTCCAGTACTCGATCATTCGGACAAGGCTAAGGTTTTAATTGTCTCTATCTAACATCTATGAGTTTTTGTTTTTCTTACGTCACTTTTTTTTTGGCGGGGGGGGGGGGGGGTGAGATTAAAAGCGTCCAATTCCTTGAGCCTAATTCCTCACCATTTGAGAGATGTGTTGGTATCTCTGCCATCTCCCGGCTGTTGATTTTCTTCAGGAGAAGTTTAATATTAAACGGTTCCACAGTGAAAGGAAGGCATCCAGCTAGCATGGCGAACGTGTTCACTCCACTGGAAAAGATGGGCAGAAAAATATAAGAAAAATTAGAAAAATTGTCCCGAGGGGTGTGTGATATGAGGCAGAACGTCCACATTTAAAACAGTTCATAACTGAGCTAACAGTCATGGAAACGATGTTATCACTTAATACTGCTTTCGAAGGCAATGCAATTTAAAACCGTAAAAAGTCACCTAATTTTGAATTTAATAATGATATTTCTTTTCCAAATAATATGTTGCATAGTACATCGACTTCTTTCTGATGTGAAATAACAGAATCATCCCCCGAGCAAAAACAGACTGTTCAAAGGCGGGATTATCGGTTCATCATGGTACAGTGCTTTCTGCAATAAGTTTGGCGCCAATTTCCAGCAAACACCCCCAGTCTTTGAACTTTAATAAAAAAAAAAATCTCAGAGCGGGAGGGTGCAAAATAATAGAGAAAAAATAATAGTCTGGAATTCCCGTAAACATCGTGGTCCGCTAAAGACGCCACCGCCAGCGTCATGTTGCCGGGGGAAACAGTGATTTTTCCCCAGTCAAGGAGGGGAAGACATCAGTACGTGATTCTACTCGCGTTTTTTTTATCAGGAGCAAGACTTTTCTTTCACTTTTGCCCCGGTAAAATAAAACCTTGTTATCTTGGAATTATGCGAAATCGTGTACAGCCACGGACTAGATGGGCTCTATGATAAGACACTCTCTTCTTGGGGCATTACAGGAACATACGCAACAGTCTTCAGACGATCATCCCAAATCAAGTCTAACGAATAGCCTCTTATAAAACAGTCGGAACAAAATGCTGATCTCAATCGCAACATTTAATAATTTAGCGATTTTTATGTCTACACAGAAAAGCAATGTTGATGGACAAACTACAAAAATCTCTATTATTTCAACAATTGGTTCTTGCGCAACAATTATAATGTCATAAATGTACTAAAACATAATATACAGGATGGTGCAAAAGAAAGAAACCCACTTTGACAGGAATTTTAACATAATAGGCCTACTTAACTTATTTTAACTGTGTGATTTTTTTTTTCAATTAATGCGCAGGTAGTGAAGTATAGCTCCGCAACCCTACGTACATGGTGAAAAAAAATTAAAGAAATATCGCAAAATAGTGTATTTATGCTAATACAAGTCACCAAAATCACTGTTGTCCACGTGTAAGTCTAGTGTAGTTTTTTCTTCAAATAAAGCTTTCAAATTTTTCTTCAAAACAAACGGGTTTGGCACATGAAATTTTTAAAGACAAAATGTGCATGTGCAATATTTTTTCGTCACTTATGTTTCAAGATCAATATTTCAATACTATTCAATTGAATTTTTGAAATATGCTCAACAAGTAGGTGAAAATTGCTGTCAAAAGTGGGTTTCCTTCTCTTTGCACCACCTGTATATTTCGTTCCTTTTTGGACTAGCTTATGATATCGTTTTTACGTTAGGCAGACGTGATACAGTGTTGCTCAGGATTATTTACTTCAACACAAATGTAGCATCAGTGACATCTAACATGATCTATGTTTCAATGACGTCACATCATGCCGAGCCGGCACTCTGGCTGATGAAATGTGTAAGTTGATTGACACAAAATATGTAATTAAGCCTTGTAATGAGACTGACGAAGTGTGCGTGAAGTGTGACCAAAAATATACCACGCGATGCAGTCATCCGTCTTACGTGCGTGATGACGTCATTACAAACAGCTGCAGTTATACGGTAATGCAAAGCGCACAACCAACAGCGGTTACAAATTAATTTTACAACTCATTTGCTTTTTATGTTTCATTCATGTGGATATAATGAAATGCATTTTCAAATGTATCTATATGTGACAAATTATTAGTCTCTTTTCTAATAATGATTCACCTGCAGGGCCCAATTTCATAGCACTGCTTAACAGTAAGCAAAAAAGTTGTGCTTACTATAGCAGAAAATCATGCTGCTGCTTAAGCACTATTTCATGCTAACAGATGCGCGCACATGGAGATTTCTATTGTTACGTCACTGATTTAAGCAAAGTTTTCTTCTGGGGTTAAGCGTGCTTTTGCTCTGCTTACTGCTTAACGGTCCCTATGAAATAGATGGAGGCTCAGTAAGCACAAAGTCGGCTGTTAAGCAGCGCTATGAAATTGGGCCCTGCAGATGTTAAGTTTCATCAATAATTTGTTAAACCGATTGGTATAATCGCAATTTGATACTCTTCATTAGTGACATATTTTTGATATTTTTGTGATACGTCTAAATAATTATTTGCATATAGAACCTCTGACAGCAGCTTTAAAGGGACTTTTGTATCGCAGCAAAAGCCTGGAAAATTGTTATCGAATAATACAATATAATGTTTACAGCAGATCCACTTTCGGGATAATACATTGCACTGCACGTTTTGAGTTGTCTGCCAAAAGACACAAGCCCATAGGTTTGTTTGTGTCGTGTATCAGGTTTTAATGTTGTGGTTTTTTTTGTCATTATGGAAACACATAAAAAAAACTTTAATTGCCATAGGGCAAATGATAGCGATACCCGTATATTTTGTAATACGAGAGCTAGAACGTGTAGGATATTTGATGTAGGTCATGTATAGGATTAAGTGTAATGAAGTTCTGATGAGAACCATTGAGATACCAAGTATGCTATGATTGCATATCTGATGGGCCACATTTCCGGATTACTTGCAAACAAGTGCCACATGCGGGGCAATTATGGTGATAACGATGTTTACTCTACGTGAATTAATCATTGCTAGGTACTAAAGAGGTTCGGTCCACACGTCACGTACGAGCGAAGTACGAGACATCTTCAATGCTGCTGGTATTTGATTATGACGTACACGCGGGGCTTGGAGTTTATACGCTTCGGTGCATAGTGGTTTTAGAGCGGACATGCTAAGCATTGTCAAAATTAATATTCGTTCTGATAATCAAATAATGTGCGTGCAAACTTAATAGCTATCGGATGTTTTTTTGACAATTATAGAAACTGAGGATGATAAAAAAAATGTTAGAACAGTTTTTGCCATAATCAAATGGGCTGAAAGGGGTAACTTAGTATTATTATCTTTATTGTGTGATCTTTTTTTTTGCATGAATAAATTAAGTTAACCGGAACGTGACTTTAAAATATTCCCAGTAATTTTAACGTATTAAAAAATCCTCATATTCTCTTAGTATGATCGACTGCCATTTTCCGATGAATTCAATATTTCACATGTGATCCCATATACCACCATGGCATGTAAAATCATATTCGTGTCTAAATAAACATCAACTACATGCATATAAAAAAAGACATCGCTGCGAAATTTCTCCAAGAATCACGAATCAAATGTGATATTGGCTCTGTCTGTGAAACATGCAGCACTTTAGACTATTTCATTAAGGGCTTCAAAACTCCCAAATGAGGCTTTCTGATTAATTTTCAGTCTTATCTCCTACTCGGTAAACACAAACCGCGGTTGCCATGCCATATAATGACAGTAAAGGTGGCGACACTGTTTATTCTTTTATCTCACGGCTGCCGCATCTATCTGGGTCTTAAGAGTGTTGTCTCAGCGGCGATCTGCATCCCGCCAAAGAGACATTCTCCACTGAATTCATTCAATAAATAGATCTTGCAGAGAAGCTGTCAGAGCTAGCACAGCAGGAATACACGGGGAGAGTCCAGCATTAAGACTGAATTCTAATGGACAGTCACTGTAAATTGTCACTCGCTTTAAAAGCCCGTAGTGTTTTTAAAGGATTCAGTATGTAAATAAGAATACGCCTTGTGGAAATACAATGACGGTTCTTTGGAATCCCAAGGTAATGCCCATAACTGAATAACACTGCAAAAAAGTTTTTTTTTTAAGGGTAAACAGTGGATCACGTACAGCCACGTTTAACATCTCCCGGACTGATTTAATCACGGCCTGCAGTAAGCCTACACTGCAGGCAAATTATCAGTTTGCTCTGGAAACTTAACTAAGTGATCATAAACAGACTGGTAAATCGAGCAATGAACTAAAGTGACCATTTAGTAATGGGACAAAAAGGCAAGCGGCCAACACATGTAACACACAGAGAAATACTCAATCAACAGATGTATAAAACAAGATAATTATCCAAATGAAAATATGATAGATGGAACATGTAGCAGCACCGACCTCAAAAATATACAACGATCACATCAATCGACATTCAAACCTACACAAAACAAAAATTCAAACGAAACATAAAAAAGTAAAGAAGTGACAAATCAGTAATGATGTTGCCTATATGTACATACATGCTCCATACATCCACTTTAGCTCCGTATCTTTTATTCGCGATTATCTCTGGCGCAGCGTAAGCGGGACTGCCACACTGGGTGGCTCGGAACTCCGCCCTCACTTGGCCATTTCCAACCAGGTTGCTTAGTCCAAAATCTGTGCAAGGAAGGAACATTATTGTTAATTTTTGTTTATCTAAAAAAAACTCTGGTGATCCCTTTAGGCCAAAAAAAGTCTCTGGTTTCTGGTATGGAGCTTGCACAAAAAGTGGTGCGGCGACGCGGCTTTTTTTTTTTTTACCTGTTGTTTTTGCTTCAAATGTCGGCTGATGACTGCAAATGGTGCCCGACTAAACTCAGTGCAAATATTATGGGAGACCAGAGAGGCCACATAAAGCTTATTCTCGATCATAACCCCATCTAAAAACACGTTAAAATTGTGCAGCAGCAGGATTCCAGTCAAATCAGTGAGTTTGGCGGTTTTGAGACATCATCTTTCATTGAAAAAAAACTTTTTTCATTTTGCCGACGCGCATGGCTACTTCGACGCACGCGCAGACCAGAAACCAGAGACTTTTTTTTTTGGCCTTAAGGATTCTTTTTTTTTTAAAAAGTTTTCAAAGGCAGCGTGTTGCCTAACTCCGCTTACTTCTTGCATTATAATTGTTGAAGATCATGAGGGCGCTACACAATAGACTGGTTCTGTTTTTTTCGCGCAGCCTGCAACAATTGGTCAAAAAACATGAATTCCTTTGATTGCGCTCCAGCCACCACAAGAGGGCGCTTTATCCTTCTTTTCTCACAAGTTTTAGTCAACACAGTATTTTATCCTCATTTCAAGTCAGAGTTTCCATTCAAATGGTTGGAAACTTGGCAAACCGTAAGGGGGCGATATTTTACTTTTGGGCCCGTAAAAACAGCCGGGCCCAATGGGGTGGTAATTGATTGAAATGGAAAGTGTAAATAATTACCAATAATCTTGATATTGTCGTTTCCATCCAGGAGTAAGTTTTCTACTTTCAAGTCCCTGTTTGGGTACAAAGAACAAACATTACAATAAAATTATTTGGTATAGTACGATCAGTGACAGACACTGACAGACTTGAACAAAGGCTAAACAAACACGATTGTTGCGTCTTTTACCGGTACCTACCTGTGGAGGATGCCCGCTTGATGCATGTGATCCACGGCAGACACTATCTGCCTCACGTACCGCCTAGCCTCTTTCTCCAGGAGACATTTCTCACTACAAATGCGATCAAGAAGAGCGCCACCAGTACAAAGTTCTAATATCTGAAAACAAAGACATCGAGCAGTCAAAAAAATTAGAACTTTTTATTGGATGGAGTACAACTTACTCAAAATTTAAAAGGAAATATGAAAATGACCAGGTAATGGAACTGTTCACCCCATTTCATTGGCGTCGCAAGGGGGGGGGGGCAAGGGGGCGCTTCCCCCCCCCCGAAAAGCCCCCCCCCCTCAAAAAAAAAGGGGGGAGGGAAAAAAGAAAGAAAAAAGGCGCGATGTCATATTGCTGTAAATGTAATGTTCGAAAAGTACAGGGATTTCTGGGGGGGGGGGTGTGCTTTGCCCCCCCCCCCCCAGAAAAATCCTGGCAACGCCCATGTTCAATTCTTTCACGACATGTAGAGTTCGGTTCGCTTTTAATGCTTCGCAACGTACATGATTTTGTTGTTACTGTATGTGTGAAGTCTATGACATAATACCATAAAAAGAATATGATGCGGAAGGTTACCATGTAGAAGTTGTTATCCGTCTCCATGACTTCGTACAGTGTGATGATGTTTGGGTGATGACGTAACGATTGGAGCAAACTCGCCTCCCGTCGCATATTCTTACGCAGGTATGGGTCCTCTCGGACTACTTTCTTATCGATGATTTTGACAGCAACCTGTTGAACGAGATATTTTACCGTAAATTCATAACAATATGTTTTTATATAGCTTCGGTTTTTGCGGTAATACCATGTGGTTAATTGTGTCTACTTTCGCTCAGTATTTAGTTCCAATAAGAACAGTCCTGCTAGTTCAAAAACAGGGAACTTGTCCTGCTTATTATCTACTTTCGCAAAGCAGGGTGACCGTTTTAGCCGATTTTCGGCTTACTTTGACAGAATTTTTGTAAAAAATGAGTTTGACAGAAAATTTGACAGAATGATTTTTTTGGGCCGATTTCTGCCAGAATTCTGCAAAAATGGTAATTTGACAGGAAAACAGCAAATTTGAACAAAAAATGGTACCTTTTTTTAAAAAAGCTTTAATCCTTTCAACAAACCCTTGCATAATGGGACAGGTTGGTTGGTCTAGGTGCTGAGGTTAACTGGGAAATGGACTTCATCAATCGTCATGGCCGGATCTGCGTTTTGCCCGAAATTTACGCGATAATTTCATAACATCTTTACGTGACTATAGATTGTTTATAATGTAATTTGAACCTTAATTAAGTCAATATTACCATTCTGCATGTGATTTTAAGTGTTCATAGTGTATTTCGAGTAATTCTGGGGAATTTGGCAGATTTTTGACAAATCTGACAGATTTTTTTATGTGCATTTAGCAAAATTTGGCTCTGACCTTACGGTCACCCTGTCGCAAAGAACATTGAGGGCGGTGGGCATTCTCCTGACGATGACTAGAGGGGCCGGGAGCACGATAGTCGAAACGTCGAAACTTATTACTCAGCCACAGTGACGATAATTGCGAAGTCCACCTTCCAATGTACTTAGCAACAGTAGGATAATAAGCAGCACACGTTCCTTTTTTGAACTAGCAGGACAGTTCTCATCGGAACTAAATACTGAGCGAAAGTCGGACACGATTAACCACATGGTGTAACGGCAAAAACCGAAGCTATATCGATACTCCACCATGCAAAATCCTAAAATCTTATTTAAAAAAAAATCTGGCATTTAAAGCCATATCCATTGGAATTCATCATAAAAATTATTATTAATGGATCTGTTCTTGTAAACACATCTCGGAGTTTGCGGCTGTTTGTTGAAACTTCCCCAATTTGTTCAAGAATATATACTAAAAAAACCAAAAAAAAAAAACCAACGGGTAAACTGAGCCTCCTGCTAATAATACCATATAGGATTGATGTATGGTTTTAGCTATTTACATGAAGGCCTACTTAAAAAAAATAATAAAACAAAATATTCCAAGAAAGCAAAAATAAATAGTCCAACCATGGCTACCAAGCAAAAAAGTAAATCAAAAACATAGTACAAGAAGTAATAACAATCTAGTAATTTGTAAAACCGCACGTTAAACATAAAATATATTTCTCATAAAAAGAATTTGATCGGCTTGGCTTGACATTTACAAACACGCAAACAAAGATTGTTCATAGATTTTACAGCTCCGCAGTATACCCTGCAGGCTATTCAACACTTTTATTATAAATTCACCTCCTATCGCGTTGAATTGTTTTGATCACAAGAGAGATTTCTTTTTCTTGCGGTGCCAAGTCTTGGAAATAAATTCGAAACAAAAAATAATGTTTTGTCTGGGCCAAATTCCAAATGTGGAAAGTGACACCTGAAAACAAAACACTTTTGGTGAGCAAAATATAGGGAACAATACGACCGCTCAATCCCTGGAATTTTAACGGGACTCTCAGTCAAAATATACCCGCAGTAAAGGACCCCAGAATCGTTCATTTGCTATCATTGCATACACGTATTTATAGTTACTGCATCTAGACTATAGGATTTAGAGCTCAGGGGTAGTACAAATTACACCCTGAAATTGAACCGTTTTTAGGTATTGCCCATTTTAACAGTAGGCCTATGTTAACAATAAAAAACATTATAAGCAATGTTGAATGAGTGCTTTCTCGTTCAAAACTAACATACTGTTTTGTTCTGCTACATGAAAAGGGGGGGGGGGGACTATTAAAACAGTTTTTTTCAGCAGAGCAGGGTACAGATTTGAGGACATCATTTTACTATACAGGGTAAGTAAAAAAAAACCCGAAACCCAAATGTCGGGACTATTGTTTTAGTGAAGTTCTACATAGCACTTTGAAAATCTAGGATATGAAAGTCCAATTCATAAGCTTTTTTTTAGTTTAAGAATCATTCAAATCACTCATGTACTTTTCAAGTTACGAAATTTTGAACACAACCACCGTTTTAAAGTTCTGTCCACGGATCACAAAAAAGGTGTGCGTTCTTTCAGCGAAACGAAAACAATTCACACACATCCCTGCCCTACGTGATTTGTTTCGTTTTGCTGAAAGAACACTGAACTATTGTTTTAGTGAAGTTCTACATAACACTGAACTTTTTTTGTGATCCATGGACAGAACCTTAAACGGTGGTTGTGTTTAAAATTCCGTAACTTGAAAAGTACATGAGTGATTTGAATGATTTTTAAACTAAAAGAAAGCTTATGAATTGGACTTTCATATCCTAGATTTTGAAAGTGCTACATGCATAACTTCACTGAAACAATAGTCCCGACATTTGGGTTTCGTTTTTTTTTACTCACCCTGTACTGTTTCCAACATCACATCTACTGAATTTAACAGGTGGTGGAATTCCACGGCGTCTCTTAGTTTTAAAGCTAGCTTGGTCTCACCTTTTCTCCCACCACATTATGAAGTGCTTCTTTCACCTTAGCAAAGCTTCCTTCTCCGACGGTCTTTCCGAGTAGGTAGGGTCCTACCCTCTTGACATGCGGGTATCGTGCCGTTTTCTCCTGGGTGGAGCGGCTGAGGGCCGTCTTGGTGGTGATGGTCGGCAATACTCCCGACTCGGCCCGCTCGTACAGGTAACGGAGTCCGGGGTGGACATGCGACATATGCGGTAGTTGAACCAGAGTTTCACTCGGTGGAGGCATGATGGAACTTGGTTTCAGGCAAAGACTCCGCAAAAGAAAATTCGTTGCTCTCGCGGGATAATGCTATACAATCCCTCTAAGTATTGGGGAATTTTTTATATCACATTCTGAAAAAAACATTTAAAGTTTGATACAGCATTTTAGGAATTGAGAAAGTCGTGTGATTCAGGTGGCGGGCTTCACTCAACTACTTCCGCTGGACAGCTTTTTTCTTTCCGTCAAATTCAAGTTGGCGAAATCCAACAGATTTTAGCGCTCAAGGAATAATCCCTAGAGTCGTTAAGACATGAATGGGGTAATAAGGCTGCTTCTTGTAAAGTCTGTTTGAAGAAGTACTATAACCATCCAGCAACCAGACCCAAGGTCTAAATATAGTGTTTGTGGTTGATTCCAGTTGGCGCAGACGTAGCTTGGGTTTCCACGAAGCTGAAGCATAGTTCATGAGTCGTCATGTCACTTTGAAAATCGGCTTATTTTTTAAGTGGCTTTGTTCCAATGTTTGGTGTTCTTAATAAGTCCAAGGTGTTAATGTAATGTTTAATTATTTCACTGGTTCTCCATACCGAGGTGACAGACACCTTCACCTTCACGGTGGCAAAAGCTCCAAGCAAAATAGCGGTAGAATCATCTGGTATCCACGACAGTTGGAAACACAAGCATACAAAGCAACATATTGCTTCTTTGGCTAAAAACAAACATCCACCGCATCACGATACGCCGCGCCAGCGTTATCCAACTCGTCATAAACTCACGCCTTTAATACAGAGGAAGCCTCATAAATTCCGCCGTCATTATCACATATATTTGCTCAACTTAACAGTTACATGTTACGACTCTATCCTTTGAAGAAGGAAAAACTGATAATGTGGAGTTCTCCATAGTAACATCTTTGGGTTGCTCAGTCCATGAACACTGTGCTTATCATAACCTGACGAGTTTACAATGTCTTCGTATTGATCCCGTAACTTGATAAAAGCTCCCCGCGCCCTGGCAACTCAAGAAACACGACGGCTGTTCAAAGACTTTGAATTTTATTTCTTACTCCTCTTTGCAAGAAATATTTCATAGAACAGTTAGCTGTGCATGATCTTCCCAAAACATCGCTTTGATTTCTTCATGATTTCAATAAACATTAATCATTCTTTTCGAATGAAAATTGCCCCGTCTCAGTCCACGAGTGTTACTAACCGCGGGCTACATACAAAACTTTTTTTTTTTCTAAAACAGTCCGCCATAAAAAAAAATGTGTCTTCGTTTAGGTAGGGGCAACAAAAATGTTTCGGATGTTGTGGCAAATGTTTCCTTGAAAATTTAACTTCAGAAGGTGAAAGTGGTGTTTCAAATGCTTCCCTCTAATTTTTTAGGTACATTGCATCATAAAAATGTTGGTAAATTTGGCTGGCCCTAACGTGTAAGGGAACAGTCGCCGTCATGGTTACACCATGGTTACACCTTGTAACTTATCCCCCAATAAACGATCTCCCGACGCGCGAACATCAACTTACATCTCACTAACAAGATAAACACACGATAAAGAAACAATTACCAATGAATACAAGGCCCTTATGGCCTATTGTCAGAGATTACGAACTTGATAGGTCGACAAGAGGCACGGACAATGGTCATAGTGACCAATATGGCTTGGTACAAGCCCGGTGAATGGGTTGGGTTACTGAGGTGAGGCGGCAATGTGGGCGAGTGTTGACCAACAAGAGGGTCGGTTTACTGAGACCATGTCTTGCGAGCCGGAATATGCGATGGGTTTAGCCCCGAGGAAAAAGAGGGTCATAAGACGGGACAGTTATTGTAAACATTACATGGAATATTACTTTTGATGAACGGAAACATTAATATTAAATATTCTGATTATAGGGCGAGTAACAGAGAGATGGATGATTTTGAATTTATAGATTTTTCGCAAAGAATCGGCTAGGCCTGTCTGCCAGGATAGGTGTTAAAAATCGCCTCTCACCCAGAAGAAAGGCGAACATTGCATTGCATCAACAGCGTCTGCTTGGTTAAGTAAGCAAGACGAATATTGGGTAACTAGAAAGGCTCAGTATCACGAGCCATCGGTTACCATAGAAACAATGAAATCAGTCAAGGCGTTACAAGTGTATAGACAGGTAGCATTAGCTTTTTTACGGCTCTCATACAACGGGCTATAGAAATTATGCAGTTGTCAGGATTTTTTTTCATGAATACTACACGTCACTTGTACAGTTGTGGCTAAACTGGAGTTGTCAAAGTCGCTTGAACAATTCACAAAGTAAGATTTAAAAAACTGTAGTCAAAATAACGGATACTTTTTTGAGACAAAGGAGCCGGAAAGTCGTGCTCTATTTTATTGATCAAACCTCTAACATCATCATGACTCATCGATCCTGGTACAACCGACTAGGCTGGAAAATGCCAATTTTTACACAGCTTTTGATAAACAAAAGAAGCGTTAGTAGAATCCCCATGTTCTGTACAAATTAAATTTGACAACAAAACTTGGTTATTACCAACAGTGCCAACTATTTTTACACACACGGCAACCTGCTACAGTATACAAATAACGAATGTTTGTGAGTGCGATGGTAAGAATAATTTCATGAGGTGACAGATTGAATGTTCTATTCCACGAGGCGAAGCTGAGTGGAATAGAACATTCAATCTGTCACCGAATGAAATTATTCTTTCCATCGCACGAACGTAAAACATTCGTTATTTGTTTTATACAACACGTGAATAAATTCTCGTCATTTGATTGGTAAATTATAAACTACAATTTATTTTGATTTTAAAGATGTTGAACTACCCCTTCACGAAAATGTTTGAACCCAACGCTGTAGCGCTGGCTCTTTGGAACAATACGCGCTACGCTGAACGCGCACACCAGCATGCATTTTGCACGCAAATACGCGTCATGGAACAAGCGCAAAGTTAAACGGTATAACGCATGGGTATAACGCATGGTCGCACCGTGCATTATACCGAATAATAATATGTCACGTGATCTACAATTCACCAATCAGATGACGGGGATTTATTCAGGTGTTGTATAAATATCTTCTGCTTTGACTTTTATCACACCAATTTCTGACGAAAAGACAACTTGACAATGCATGTAAACCATTACATATATCACACCTTCAATGTAACCCTTAACCCCAAACTAATAAATACAAATAATATATACACAAAGAATTATGTATACGGATTCTAGAGTCGACACTCCATGAAGAAAACACAAGAAAACACCACAGTTGATACATGTGTACATAAAAATATAATATAATCCATAATATTCTGAACTTTTGTTAAATATGTAAATGCAATCTAAAAGTAAACCTTTTTTTTGTTAACTTCACAATTCTCACCTCGTTGCAATATTTCTGTATTTATAACATTATTTTACACATTTTTTCAAGTGTTTCACACTAACAATAATATTCCAGTACTGAATTTAAACACCATATTTAAAACTGTCTCCCACATATGTTTGGAATCACTCCAGATACTGGTTCTCGACAAGCAATTGTGTACAATTTCATTTGTACTGATAAGCCATCAAATTTGGCGATATGTACAATTTTTGTAAATTCTCAAAAAGTCCAACCCTTTAGAAAGATTCTGCTTGGATCGTAACGTCATCAGGCCCTGACTTTTATCTCACATAATTCCAGTTTTAAGCATTTCCAGAATTTATTTTTTACGAAATAAGCAATTTCAACATTGTCTGGACTGTTTGAGAATCTATGCTCCTAGGTCTTTTCAGAAATAAAAAACTTGAACAGTACTTTAAATATGTTTTGTTTTCACTTTTTTTTTCTCCAGCTGGATGGAACATCTACTACATAAAATTCCAAGCCAGATTGACAGGGAAAATTATCTCCTAAAAGTTCCAGGACTTTGTCCCCAAGTAGTGTAGTGATTGTAGTTTCAATGTACAGGGCGAGTCAAAAAAAGCGGAACCCAAACCCCAAAAATTGTATTTCATATTAAAAAAAATATGTAGCACCAAAAATAATAATGACTGGAAAGCCAATTTCATAAGCTACTTTTAGACGACAAAATTACTGAAATTGCTCAATCCGTTCAAAGAATATCAACATTTAAACACAGTAACCCTAAAACCTGTCTCGTCCAAAAATGCGATTTCAAGAATCGTCGTCACAATTGTCTTCAAACGTCACCAGAAAACCTCAATTTAAAAGTTTAAACATATTCAACAAAGTCTTTTTGAAGGCCCGTCTTTAAAAAAAAAGTGATTTTATAAATCATATTGTTTGCCTAACCAGGGTTGTTTATAAAGATATTGTGTACTACAGTTGTTGAAACAAGTATTCTGTGTCATTTTCTTTGTTGTTCCAAACAGTCCAAACACACAATAAATTGCTTTTTTTTGGACGAGACAGATTTTAGGGTCATTGCGTTTAAATGGTGATATTCTTTGAAGGGATTGAGCAATTTCAGTATTTTTTCATCAAAAAGTAGCATATGAAATTGGCTTTTCAGTCATTATTATTTTTGGTGCTACATATTTTTTAAAATGTGAAATATATTTTTGGGGGTTTGGGTTCCGCTTTTTTTGACTCACCCTGTACATACTCTCAATCACACCTCTTCATAGCGGAAACTTATTTGAAAGTGCACCCGCAAAATTAAAAAATTGACACTACAACCCACCATGTTACGATACTAGTACAAGTGGTCCCTGGTCCGCAGATCACACGTGTCGCCTTTTTCCGTGGTGCATTTTTAAACAACCTCAAATGACCCCTAGATGACCTCCAATTTCGGAAGAGAACCTACCCAAGGATCACTCCATCAAAGTTACATTAAAATCTTTCAAACTCGGCAGACAAAGAAACATTTGAAGCATATTTGAAAATGTCCTGTAATGACCCCTACATGACCTTTGACCTCAGCAATCCGATAAAGAATTGTGTCGATCCCACCCAATTGGACACTGCATGAAAGCATGTAAAAGTTATACATTTCTTTCACAACTTTAACATACATACAGGGATACAGGGCTACGGTCATACAGAATTTGGGACTGGTTAGTGCCTCTCAAAACTTTGTTTAGGTGACACAATAAATGGAATTCTAAAGTTCCTTAAAGGGAATGTACACCATTGGCTTTTGCTGTAATTTTCAGAAATGAACTATTTGAGGGGTTAGTATAATAGATCACATTTTGTTACACTGACATGTTTGAAGTTTTTTGTTCGACACTGCTTGAAAAACCAAGAAAAACAAAAATGTTCAAGTAGTCTGGTTCCCTGACTCCACTAAAGATAAAATGGATCAATTTCCAGATGCCGGAAAATTGCAAGGTAAGGGAACAAGTCTAGCTGGCCTACACCCATTCATGAATATGTAACCAATAGCAAACAAAATTTGAACTGAATAAAAAATGGTAAATTTTGAGCAGTAGTTGCAAAATAGTTAGGTTTTTCCAGCGGCGGTCAGCCGACCACCGCTGGAAACGTATACAAAAATACCATTTTCTTGAAAATGACTTCACACCAGGTGCCATAATTTTACAGGATGCTTTAGACTGTCATTTACCAACATCCTAGTAAGGTATTTCGTAAAAACTTGGTAGTTTTATTTTTCGATGTTTGCAAATGTTGTATATTCCCTTTAATATATTCTCCAATTGCCTTAGAATGCAGGAGAAATGTAGGGGCATTCAACATTTCAACATGCCTCCACTCAACCCTATTTCCTTCATATCAACCCCCCTTTCCTGAAAGCTAGATCCGTCCCTCCAACCCTCATCTTTCTGCTTGAGCCATCTTGTGCAACAACAAAGCCTCTGCCACTAATACTAGCAGTGCCTCCGTTGTGCAGCGATCGCCTGCAAGTCTCTCCCAGCATTCACACAGTAAAGGCAGGAGCTGGGCATGATCAGCGGAGAAGTTGTGCTCCAGCTGATTACGACGCACCTGCAGACAGACAGTGAAAGGGACCGATACATTACAGAGAAATATGAAACAGTGATCAATCACGGTGGCGGATCAAGAGGGGGGTTTGGGGTTGCAAGCCCCCCATTCAGCTGCTGACTGTTGTGCCCACAGTAAAATGGGTCCAAAAATACTAAATGACATATCTTGTATATCTTGCACAATGTTTATTAAGAAAGCATTTCAACTTTGTTTATGACTTCTTTAAATGGCTGTATATACCGCCCCCTAACATTGAGATCGATTCGCTCGTACCCCCCTTCCTGCAAACAGGACGCTGGGAAGGGCTGATGAATTTACGCTCTGATTCTATAGATTTTGCATGACCTGTGACCTGCAAGTCGTCACGGCTACGACCCTGCAAGGTTTTAAATGGCCGTTAAGACTGAGTCATCACCCTTTTATTCCCATTCATAAATGCTTTTTTTTTCGTTGAAAAATGTAGTAATGTAGGAAAATCTGTAAAACTTATCTGTTTTGTAACTTTTCAATTCTCGTCACTTGCTCAGGCTCCGTTTTGAATTCATGGAGGGTCAAATTGCATATTATGCGACGCATTGTCCGCAATGAAAAAGAAATCACATCCAGTATGGACTGTGCGCATCTATGAGAAAGTTTTGCGCGCATTGGCTAACTGCGGTGTTAAACAGCTGCAGCCAGATGTCTTTATACACAGGTCATGATAAATTACCCAGAATGCCATCCCCTCTTCCTTCACAAGATTTTGTGAAGCTCATCAGCCCTTCCCAGCATCCTGTTTGCAGGGCAGGGGTACGAGCGAAGGAGATTTACAGATGAAAAACTGATATATGAGCTCCAATGTCACTGCACAATGTTAAAATTCTATGTAATTAAAAAATCAATGCCATATACTACAAAATTTAAGTTCTAGACGTCATTCAAATGCCCAACTTTTATAGTCAGCACAAAAACTTCAAAATTCACTTTGAATGATGCAGCGTGGGCTTGAACCACTGATCTCTATATAAAGACTGGATAGCGGATATGCATACAACATTCACACAGTAGACTTTGCATATTGACCAATTCGCCCCCGGTCTCACGAAGATGGCCGCGTATAATACGAACGTTCTACGCGTAAATACGCGCGCGTTGTATCAACAGTTTACGCGCATTTTGGTCACGTACACATATTATGATGTTCTAAAAGGGACACATTTCCGTAGTGATTATTATTTCAAAAACGCCGAAAAAGTGATTTGCGGCATTTTAAAAAGTAACCACGACGTTAGAAAAATTGTAGTAAACCTTGGTCAGTGGGGGTGGTCAAAATATAAGTCAAGTGAACCTTGACGTTACAAAAGAAATCATGCTGTCTATAAAGACGGCAACTTGTCCTTTGTAGATCACCAGCCGGTCTCACCAATATGGCGTCAAATTCATTCATTGTGCGGCTCTTTATTAGCTATCCAGTCTTTATAATATAGAGATCAGTGGCTTGAACACGCAAGCATTTTTTGGAAAGAATGTCCATGTTACGGTCTTACCATTTCTCTCATCTGTGCTGGCGATTGGTGGCAGTAGTCCGAGTAAGGAGGTTTCTTGTAAAGCATCTCGTATAAGAGACACCCAATACCCCAAACATCTGAGTTGTAAGACAGTGCTTCACCGCACAAAACCTGAAATCATGAAATAACAATTCAGCCTTTATGAGTCGTTAAACAAACCACAAGAGGAAAACAGGTGCGTCTATAAAAAGTCTGGCTCCTGACGGGCGCCCCTGAACACAGACACTGACAAAGTGGGGAACTGCAAACATAGGGCTGGATAGCTTAGTTGCAAGAGCTCCGGAGGTCACAGGTTCAAACCCCCTCCAGTCAGTTTCGTCATTTTTGGGGGGTATTTATAAGTCTTAGTTGAAGTGCTTCAAGCAATAACATTCAAACTGGGTTTTGCCCTTCACCAACGTTTAAACACTGTATACTCAGTGTACTACCTCCTGAGTGAAAGTTGGAAAAAAATCACTCGGGTGGGACTCCAACTTTCACTCGAGAGGTAATACACTGTAACACTGAGTAGACAGTGTTTAAACGTCGGTGAAGGGCAAAACCTAATTTGATTTACATCACCCCAACGCAAAATGTCCATCTTATGCGATACTTGCTGCTATATGCACATCAGATTTGAACCAGCCAACCAATCCCGTTAGCTCGGTGGTCAAGTGGTAAGACATCTGCACTAGAAAGCAGGAGGTCGTGGGTTCGAGTCCCACCCGAGTGATTTTTTCCAACTTTCACTCGGGAGGCAACACACTGAGTATACAGTGTTTAAACGTCGGTGAAGGGCAAAACCTAATTTGATATATATCACTCTGACGCAAACATTCCATCTGATAATAGCAATAATATTGTTCATTTCTAAACGTCTTCCATTTCTCTGCATGGAGAATCCTCTGCATAAATCTAAAAGAGCAACCTTCATTGTTATGTCTTTAAAAACTGGCTTAAAAAAGACACTTATAATAAAGACCCACACACAGTTGACACAGGTGAATCTGGATCCGGCAATAACGGTTCGACTGACTAGACAATGCTATCTGAATGCATACCTCTGGTGCAGTGAAGCAGGGATCGTACGTCTCTCTGATGTCAGCAGGACATGTGACCACACTGCCTGGCTTGACTTGAACTGCTCTACTGAAGTTACACAGTTTGATGTTCACATGGTTACGATCGGTGGTGCTGCAATACAAGAGCACATTGGAACCTTGGCACAAAAAATGAAAGAAAAGAAAAGGAACGTCTGAAGATGTCAAACAGGGTACCAGTATGCATCATGGACTAATGAAACACATTCGCTTTCGCTAGAAATCGTCTTGGAATGATTGGAGTTGCAGTGGTGCTCTTTGTTTGAACAATCCGTTTCAAGTGTAAGGGTAGTTTTCGGTTATTAAACTTGGGAACACATGTACAGGGTGTGCAGACTGCTTTCAATGTTTATGGTTACGCTGTGGTCCAAAGGTTACGGTGTTCGACTCACGTGCCGTGGTACGTGGGTTCGAACTTGACTGGGAACGTGGTGCTTGTGTTCTTGGGCAAGACACTTTACTACAATTGCCTCTCTCCACCCAGGGGTATAAATGGGCATCTGTGAAGGTAGAGACCAGATTGCGCTGATCTCAAGCTGCTGCAAAAAATGGTCTCATGGCCTGATGAACAGGGGTAATAATTGTGAAGTGCTTTGAGACTGTTGGTATAAAGCGCTATATAAGCACATTATTATTATTATTATAATTATTTCATGAGAACAGCACATGTGTATTAAAGGGAATGTACATCATTGGCTTTTGCTGTAATTTTCGGAAATGAACTATTTTGAGGGGTTAGTATAACAGATCAAATATTGTTACACTGACATGTTTGAAGTTTTGTGTTTAAAAATACTTTTAAAAACCAAGAAAACCAAAAATGTTCAAGTAGTCTGGTTCCCTGACTCCACTAAAGATGAAATGGATCAATTTATAGATGCCGGAAAATTGTAAGGTAATGGAAACAGTCTAACTGGCCTGCACCCGTTTAAGAACATGTAACCCAATAGCAAACAAAATTTGGACTGAAAAAAAGGTACATTTGGAGCAGTAGTTGAAAATAGTTAGGTTTTTCCAACGGTGGTCGGCCGACCACCGTTGGAAATTTATACAAAATACCACTTTTCTTGAAAAGGACTTCACACATGGTGCCATAATTTTACAGGATGCTTTAGACTGTCATTTACCAGCATCCTAGTAAGGTATTTCGTAAAAAATTGGTAGTTTTGTTTTTCGATATTTGCAAATGTTGTATTTTCCCTTTAAAAAGCATTTGCTTCAAGATGGAACTGAACACACCTTGTTTAGTAATTTATAATAGTTTATGTTGATGAATTATATTTCATGAATTTTTCCCTACATATTTTCCAATCAAAAAGACGATACAAAACTGTTGAACTAGATGTTTGTGGACAAACACATGGCTGTTTCGGCAATTTCTTGTTGTATTTTTCTGTTATCTTATAGACTGATGGGACATAGATGTGCAGTAGAAAGTTGCATAGTGATCAGTGCCGATAGCTCAGTGGTTGTAGCACATATAGGCAAAAAAAAATCCACAAGCCCCAAAAAAATGTAATGAAAACAAAGGCTGTTTCGGCAAGTTGCCGAAACAGCCAATAAATAAAAAACATTGAATCAATCTATTTATTATAATGAAGAATGCTATTTCTTCATTATAATAAATAGATTGATTCAATGTTTTTTATTTATTGGCTGTTTCGGCAACTTGCTGAAACAGCCTTGGTTTTCGTTACATTTTTTTGGCTTGAGTATGAAGCCCGGGAAGGGACAGGGTGGAAATTTTTTTTGGGAGTTTGCTAATTCGTTTGCACGAATTACTAATTCGTTCGCATGAATTAGTAATTCGTTTGCACGAATTAGTAATTTGTTCCCACGAATTACTAATTCGTGCGCACAAATTACTAATTCGTTCCCACGAATTAACTAATTCGTGCGCACGAATTAGTAATTCGTTCGCACGAATTACTTATTCGTTCCCACGAATTGCTAATTCGTTTGCACGAATTACTAATTCGTTCGCACAAATTGCTAACTCGTTCGCACGAATTGCTAATTTGTTCCCACAAATTACTGGCACGTTCCCGGATGCACGAGTTAGCAATTTGTTCCCACGAATTAGGAATTCGTGCTAACGAAATAGGAATTCGTGCGAACGAATTAGCAATTCGTGCGAACGAATTAGTAATTCGTGCGAACGAATTAGGAAATTCCAAAAAGAATTTCCACCCTGTCCCTTCCCGGGCTTCATATACTTGAGCAATTTTTTATCAACTGTGCATTTTTATTATTGTGCATTTATTGCTTGAGCATTATTATTAACTGTGCATGTTGTAGTAGATTACTCACATTTCCAGTTGAGGTAGACAATCTCAATAGAGTGAAGGTGTATGGCAGCAGCAATGACTTGTTGAAGCAATGTCAAGCACAGGTCAAGGGTCAAATTTCCAAACATCATGACTGTGTGCAGACTCTTCATTTCTAGTAATATTAATCATGAAAAGAATTATCAAATACTACTTCATTTGGGGAAACTAAAACAAACTGTCGGCAATTTTTCATACTATACAAATTATGAATGTTTGTGAGTGCAATGGTAAGAATAATTTCATGAGGTGACAGTTGGAATGTTCCATTCCACGAGGCAAAGCCAAGTGGAATGGAACATTCCATCTGTCACCAAATGAAATTATTCTTACCATTGCACGAACGTGAAACATTCATTATTTGTTTTATATAACACCTGACTTAAATCCTTGTTATCTGATTGGTTGACTTGTAAACTGGTTCTGACATCAATGTTCTACTTTTTCAGATGGCAACTGGTGGTTCACTTCCAATACCGAATTTTCAAAACAGTTCGACAAGTTCAGAGCTATAACCAGCATATTCAATCTATCTCGGTTTAAAACTGTTCCACAACTAAGTTCAAAACTTTCATATCCAATTTATGTATTTCAAAAAGTGTTCTCGACAAGTTCAGAACTACAATATTCAAATTTGTTAAATCGTTTGGCATCAAGCTTGGTGTTAGCAGTGTCAGCATAACCCATGAGTTCCGATATTTAGTCTTCTGTTAGGAGAACAATCGCGTTTTGTCTGGCAATTTGCCATTCTGTGAATCAGATTCGTGTTACAGCGCCACCACCGGCAGTAATGAAACTGTGCAACGGAAGTTCTATTCACCGTGCAATAGAACTTCTATTTTCGCGGTGCGGCCGCGCATGCGTTGGGACGAATAATTCAATGACATGTGATCAACAATCCACCAATAAGATGACAGGGATTTATGCAGGTGTTGTATGAAGGTAAATAAAGGTTAACATGGCATGGTAGTAAGGTTTTAATTGTCTTTTTTATGAGGTGGAGGGGGCTTCATCAGGGCCTGACAAGTCGCCGACTTCGCAGGCGGCATAGGCCATCAACATCACCCACTTTGCAGATGATTTACTGGTGATAAATCAACTCGCGCACAATCAACTCGTACACAACTCATGAACACATGTACATGTACATGGACTTGCTATAGTCAGAGATGCCACAGGGTCTGCTTGAAAAAACCGAAACTCAGGGTCTGCTTGAAAAAAACCCGGAACAGCTGCTTGAAAAAAACGGAACTTTTTGTGTGTGAAAAAGCCACTCCGACACAAAGACAAAGTCCCCGTTGTCATCTTTCTCTTGTTGCCAAGCCCAGTTCCGCTTATTTTTGCTTCTATGGCCTTTTAGCTGTCGGTTCGTTCAATCAATTTAAATTGTTCATTTTCCTATTTTTTATTCCGCCTTCCCATTCCGAATTTTCAACATTTTCTACACGAAACATGCGTGTTTCCACAACACTGTCGGTGTACATGACCTTTGCACTACACGATGCAAGCGACAAAAACATGGTCGGTACCGGGCATTTTTTTGTATTCACATATCACTGCGATCAGCGGGAACCACCGATAATTGAAATGATAAGACTTGATTTCCAGGCTGAATGCTACGTGCTCAGCATACAACACGCCCGCACGCTGTGCATGCGCATGAGGCACGGTTGTATACTATGTGCAAGTACGTTGGCCGCCTGTATCGCATGCAGATTCGGCAACAACAAAGACTTGTTTTTTAAGACTACTTCAACGAACAACGTTGTGCTGTGCGTGCGCAAGTAGGCCGACATAACTCAAGTCCCTTACGAGAAAAAAATGAACGCATTTCCACATTTTTTCTTCTCTTTTTCCAGGCTTCTTTTTTAAAGGCCGGAAAAAAGAACGGAGTTTAAAAAAAAATCACTCAATATTTTTCTGTTTTTTTCCGGGGTTTTTTTGACAGATTTTTTTGTGATATTTAAAAAAAAACACCGGAATTCCGGTTAAAAACGGAAAAGTGGCATCTCTGTATAGTATACGATGATACAACTTGACTTGTATTTAATTTTCAAAATATAACTTTATCAGAAAAACGCAAGTTTTGTAGTTAAGTACTACATGGATATCTTTATCATTACCTGGGTAATATGCAGAGCAGACAAGTAGGCGGTTCTCCTTACACAAATCACTGCACCAGAAGTCCTGTGTGATGTACGGTGACGATTTCCTGTTGATCCTAAAGTACACGTTCTTCGAGTCTGGGTGACACACGGCCTGAAATAAAAAAGTGACAACTTACTGTCAAGAGAAAACTAGATTCTCATGGCCAGGATAGGAAGGCTAGTAGTCTAGGGGCTAGACGTTGTTATTGTTTGATACGCGATAACCCACTGCAGCGAGAGGGTGCTATCAAGACCAATCAATATCACCCATGAACCCGTCAGAACAACGTCTAGGCCAATTCCTAAAATCTCCCCCCCCCCCCCAAAAAATGGGGGAAACTATAGTGGGCATGCGCGACTTCTGCAGGCACTGACGGTCCATTTTTAGTCCCACACATACTACACACAACAAAAGAGCTGACCAGTGAAATTGCACAAAAGTCTTGCTGCATTATTGGTTGGTTGTGATTGTGCCTTCTCGCGGCGGCCGGTTGTCGCGGCGGTGGGTTATCGAGTATCATATAATAACAACATCTAATTGCTAACTCGTTCGCACGAATTGCTATTTTGTTCGCACGAATTGCTATTTCTTTCGCACGAATTACCAACTCGTTCCGCGTTCCCGGATCCACGAGTTAGCAATTCGTTCCCACGAATTAGAAAATCGTGGGAACGAAATAGCAATTCGTGTGAATGAAATAGCAATTCGTGCGAACCAAATAGCGATTTGTGCAAACGAAATTGCAATTCGTGCAAACGAGTTAGCAATTCGTGTGAACGAATTAGTAATTCGTGGGAACGAGTTAGCAATTCGAGGGAACGAATTAGCAAATTACAAAAAACTTTTCCACCCTGTCCCTTCCCGGGCTTCATAGAAGAGAGTTTATCAGCAAGGGACGATAGAAAAGCTGTGTCTCCATAACCAGTGAGTCAAATCCGACAAGGTTACGTCTCCTCTGGCAAGGCCAAATAATTCATATGTACAAGAGGTTTATTCCCGCCTCTCAAATGAAAAAAAAAAATGACATCCGTTTCAAATAAATGTCATCTACGTTACAAATGTTAGTGCTCATACCAGCACCCGATTTCACGAAGCGCTGCGACGCGGCGCAACTCGAGTTACGACATGTAATACGTCGCAACTCGCAACGCGTCGTATCATCCATTTCACGAAAGTTGCGATGTATTGAACGCGTCGTAAGTTCCTTGACAATGGCTTAAAACACATCGCAAGTTACAACGTGTCTAGTGGTCATCGCAAAATACGAAGAGTCCCTTTCTAAGCCAGTTTAATGCCATACACATTACATAAATGAGATTATAATACCGAGGCAATGTGTGTAAAGTTGTAAATAGAAAATTCATTGAATAATTATGAATAAGACTGGAATATTGCAGTTGAAATTTCAAAGTAGGTTTACAGTCCACTGAGAGCTAGTTTTCCTTCACAATTGCTTCGCACGATCGCCATTTTGTTTTACGTTTTAACAAATTTCGAGCTGAGATCCAACAACTCTTTGTTGAATATCAGATGACTATTTACTGTACGCCGACTAAATACATAAAACAGTCACCGAGTTGTGCTATAAATACATCTACGACGCGTCGCACCTATGACGTGTTTCGTGAAATGGATCGCAGGACGCGTCGCAGCTGCGACGCATCGTTGAGATACGACGCGTCGCATCGCTGCGATGCATCGTAAGTTACGAAGAGTTTGATGAAATCGGGTCCAGATCTTTGAGTCCCCTACTATGTAAAAGGTGTTACAGTAGGAATGCAAATATAAAATGCAAACTACCTTTTTGATAACAACGTTCAAAGTTTGCTTGTCTTGGAATTCCACACCAGCTCGCAGGATGTTGAAATCACCAAAGTCTCCCAAGAACTGCCCCTCTCTGACCTGAGCTCTCGTCCATGCCTCGTGACTGATTGGATTGCTGGGGTCAAGCTGGAAGGAAAGTACAACAATTTCCTACCGGTAAGCAGTCTTCAAAATGCTGGAAGTCTGTTCTACAATTCACTTTCAGATTCAGACACTCCATTTGTTAATAAGGGAATAAATGTGTGTTTCGGAGGTATTATAACACTCTGTTTAAGACCAGTTGGAGTCTGGATGGGTACTTATCAGCATTCCAGACTCCAAACGGTCTTAAACAGAGTGTTTAATACCGACCAAGCACATATTTATTCCCATTCATAAATACCTTTTCCGTCCAAAAACCAAAACAAGTAAAAAACTAAACACTGCTAACCATTTTGTTCAACAAGTTTACTTCATATTGTTTCAAACACCCCTCTGACTATAATATGGAATGTCCTTCTACAACTCCTAGATTGGCGTGCGCGTCGCGCGTACTGCGCGATGTTGCGCAAAATGCAACTGGGATGGCGTAGTGTGAATTTCGGACTATGAAATACTGATTCACTGGTGGTATTGAGGAATGTGAACGTTCAACCAACGAAACGTTAAAAGGCAATTGATTTCACAGGAGTCCAAATTTCATGTGACACTGGAAAAGTGTTTAAGACCAGCTAGCCATGTCTTTATCATCCGTTTAAGACCGGCCACATGACGGGCTCTCGACCAACAGGAATGGGTAAACTGTATTAACTATTTATGAATGGCAATTAATTATGCACAATGGTAAAATATACGAGTAATTATCAGGAGAAACATTTTGTTAAAGATAGAAAAAATAATGTGTCTTACCTGGAGGAAATTTTCCGACCTGACCTGCTTGTGCATGGCGTGTACCAGTTCCAGCTGAAGGTCCACCTTCAGTGAATTGTGGCACATTTGAGCAAACTGCTCCTCAAATGAAAGAGGTTGCCTGCAATATATAACAGCGGAAAATACATAAGCTGAAGGCACTGCCAGTACCATCGCCAGCTCCAGACATTTAGGGCGGAGGGTAGGGGCAGTATCAGCTAGGGGGCACACCAAGAGAAATAACACAACTGTTCTTAATTTTTACGTTTATGGTTTTTGCCCATAAAGGGGAGGGGGCAGTTGCTTGCCAGGCACCTCCCCCCATTTATTTATTTTGATTATGTTTTTTATTCTATCACTACAACACAATTACATATGTATTTCATTGCTTATTGATAACCCTAACCCATACAATCATGAAATATAAGATTGCGGGTGAGAGAAGCATGCAGCCGTGTGAAGAAATTAGGATCAGGAAGGGATTATTAGGTTTTGAAATTAAATTAACAGTTTGGTTTATCTAACTGGAGGCAATTTAATTTATCAACCTAAGGGGGGGGGGGGGGGGGGAGAGACAAACTTTGCTCAGCCCCGTTAATCTAATATCCACTTCACGTCGCTAAGCAGAGTGCTAATGAGTGCGTTCGATTACTTCTCCCAGCTTACTCGCGCCTGGCTCCTCTCGTGATGACAGACATGCGCAGTGGAGCTAAATAAACGAACGATTTCGGGTAAAGTTTCGTGCAAAGAGCTGGCAAGTTGAACTTTGACATGACACAGGCTGCATCCGAATCAACTGTCAAGAGCTAGGTCTAGGTCCACGCCCATTGAAAATACGCGGGAACGCGCTGACAATAGACGTAGCCGTAGCTCTGGAAGCCCGTTTCGGAAAAAATGTTGCAACCTGACGCCACTTCTGCGGGTTTGTGTACAAAGTCTATGGAGAGTCAAGAATTTTTTTAAAGTATTTCCTTACAAAATTGGAAATGTTTCTCAGTCCCAGATTCATGCTTATCGTCATTTTTGCAATGAATGACCTTTGAGATGATATATGAAGAAAAAAAGTGGCGTCAGGTTGCAATATTTTTTCCGCCCATTTCGGACATGGCCTGAGGCGCCTGCCGGACGTCACATTGGCAGCCATATTTATTGCCTGGCCTTATGGGATACTTACCCAAGTAACCGGCTCGGCGAGTCGGTTACTTGGGCCAGGCTCGAGTAAGCGAAAGTCACGTGAATTAATCAAACGCTGTCGTGCTTGCACGAGTAAGTGCGGGGGAAGTAATCGAACGCACTAAATCTGTAAAAATCACAACAACAAAAATTAAAAATTACAACATACAACTGCCTTAGTCACAGATTCAGACCACAAATTCAACACGTACAGTCATTATGGAGCATGATTCAAACACTCACCCGCTTCGGTAAACATCACAGAATGGTACAATGCATTGTATCTCCCTGCATTGCCTACTATGATGCCACAAACATCTCAGGATGTCTTCCCTATCTTTAATCTTGTCGTTCAGAAAACTGTGCTTCAGTTGCAGGACCTGCTTCTTTCCCTGTGTATATAAACATATCATATTTGGGTTCAACTTTGATAAGTTTTTAATATTTAGTTTAGGGTCCACTTCAAACCCTTTGCAGCTCATAGGGCAATGAATGGGCAAATACGGCACAATTGTATTAGCAGTTTAGAAATGAAATTTGCACAACCATGACAACTGAAAGGAATGCTACGTACTGGAATACGCCCAATTGTGCTGCAAAACGCACTTTGAACAAAATGATTTTAAAGGGAATATACAACATTTGCAAACATCGAAAAACAAAACTACCAAGTTTGTACGAAATACCTTACTAGGATGTTGGTAAATGACAGTCTAAAGCATCCTGTAAAACTATGGCACCTGGTGTGAAGTCATTTTCAAGAAAAGTGGTATTTTTGTATAAATTTCCAACGGTGGTCGGCCGACCACCGCTGAAAAAACCTAACTATTTTTCAACTACTGCTCCAAATGTACCTTTTTTCCAGTCCAAATTTTGTTTGCTATTGGTTACATGTTCATGAACGGGTGCAGGCAGGCCAGCTAGACTGGTTTCCTTACCTTTCAATTTTCCGCCATCTATAAATTGATCCATTTTATCTTTAGTGGAGTCAGGGAACCAGACCATTTGAAAATTTTAGTTTTTCTTGGTTTTTCCAGCATTTTCGAACACAAAACTTCAAACATGTCAGTTTAACAATATTTCATCTATTATGCTAACACCTCAAATAGTTCATTTCTGAAAATTACTGCAAAAGCCAATGATGTACATTCCCTTTAATCGGAAAGGACATTTAAAAGTCGAATATAAACATCCACACAACTATTCTATAAAAACTGGCCGTGTTTGTGTTATTCCTGTGTTTTTCGTGGGAGAACAAATTTTTGAGTCCACTTTTGCAACCCCATAAATTTGGGCTGTTCAGTGGTAGTGTGATTTTAGCCATGCTAGCCATAAAGTGTTCACCGTCTGCGGACGTGTAAGAAACCACAGTACGGCGTTGGTGATGTGTGTAATTTACAGGTATGTGACATACACAATGTGTATCGTACATTGACTGAAAACGACAGGAAAAATGCATACTCCGTTGTGTCCGAAGATGTAAAAAAAAATTGTTTCTTGTCTTTTCTCACGAACGGCAAGACATAATTAGGTTGGATTCCTTTAAACCAGATGTTTGAAATAGGATAAGTAAACGATCCTAAACAGGCAATTTTTGGGAATTTCAGGGCTTGGTGCCCCTTTAAGGGAAAAACATTTTGCAACCTGACACCACCTTTTTCTTCATATATCATCTCAATGAAGGTCATTGCAAAAATGATGATAAAGACATGAATTTGGGACTGAGAAACATTTCCAATTTTGTTAGGAAATATGCTGAAGTGGCATCGGGTTGCAACATTGTTTCCCCTTTTAACTAAAGCATACTTAACTAAAGCATACTTAAAACTGTGCACTGTATGATTCCCTAAACTTGAATGTTTTGTTGACGATTCGCAGACAGGCTTTGATACTCTTAAGACAAAAACTCAAAAACAAAATATAAAATAAGCCATTAAATTACCTGTAAACAACTACAGTCAGAACAGTTGCCGTGAGGAAATCTCTTCAAGCAGTATACAGAACGCTCCAGCTGACTCAGCGAAGGTCTTTGATCCTATTTCAGAGTTGAAGAAATAAGAGTAATTCCATTGGTAACATGGTAATGCTAATTTCGTCTTTGCCAGAGCCATCTCAGACTTCTAAGCAGAGGAGTGATGTGGTTTATTGCATTGCGATGTGAAAAAAAATCCATTATTTTCTTTACAGGTATGTATATCACTTTAAACCAGGAATGTCTGAAATGCTTTTGTTCTGGAGAAAACGTCTGAAACTTGAACAATGGCAATTATATTTCAGACATTTGTTCATTTTTTCAGACATACATAATCCCTGAATCAGAATGTCCAAATCATAAACCTGTAGCACCACGTACATTTCAGACATTCTGTCAACGTCAAATAACTGGTTTTAGGTTTATGTTTCGGATTTTAATGTAATTATTTTATTGATTCAAATTAGGTTTTGCCCTTCACCAACGTTTTTTAAACACTGTATACTCAGTGTGTTACCTCCCGAGTGAAAGTTGGAAAAAATCACTCGGGTGGGACTCAAACCCACGACCTCCTGCTTTCTAGTGCAGATGTCTTACCACTCGACCACCGAGCTTACGGGATCGGGTGGCCGGTTTGAATCTGATGTACATAGCAGCGGGTACCGCATAAACTATTATAAGATGGAATTTTGCGTCGGGGTGATATAAATCAAATTAGGTTTTGCCCTTCACCGACGTTTTTTAAACACTGTATACTCACTGTGTAATTACTATTGATTACGTTTCAAACATTTTGTCAGGAACAAACTTACGTTCCCGACATTTCTGGTTCATAGTTATTGTGAATGCGCATGTCTTGAATTAATCTATGATTAAATAGTCTTATCAGCATTGTTGTTAGCCATCATATGCCTGGATTATCTAGTTTTTTTTAAGGACTCCTCGTTCGGGCAGTTGTGAAGCAGGCAGTTGCTGGTGATGTGAGCGGCCGTTTGGAGGGCAGCTCTGCACTAACAAGCTGGACTTGTGAGGCCCATCCGGAACATGTTGGCCAGGAATCAATGATCACTATGGCATCTGTTCAATCTGCACCAAGCTGCTCTGGATAGGTGACATCCGAGCGGCTTGTTAGGCTTGTCGGTGTAGTCATGAAGCCTCAATGTGGACATCGACCATCCTGCCATGGTCGATGTGAACATCGGGGCTTCGTGGCTACATATCAGGGCCCAATTTCATAGAGCTGCTTAAGCACAAAATTTGCTTAAGCACGAAAAAACATTGCTTAGTAAAATTAGGTTACCGGCCAAAACTCCATTTGATGTACATTGCTTGTGACCGGTATTTAGCTGTTGTTTACTGAGCATAACAATCGCATGGAGTTTTGGCCGGTAACCTGATTTTATTAAGCGAGACATTTTTGTGCTTAAGCAAATTTTGTGCTGAAGCAGCTCTATGAAATTGGCCCCAGGTGATCAGTTCAAAGATTAAGAATGTTTACCTTGTAATTTGGGCCTGTACTTCCACAACCCAATGGCTGAGTTGGAGCCATCCCTGTAGTTGTATAAAACTGTCTGCCGCTGTCCACAACTGCAGACCTGGTGTCACTCTCCCTGTCATACTGGTAGCCCGTTGATTTCTTTCTGTGACACGGTCCAGCGAAGCCATTTGCAAGAGGCCCATTGCATGGAGTTTTCCACTCTTGAGGAGTTGAACCTCTTTTGGTTGATCTGGCTCCTTGGTCGGTGAAGCCAGCTGCTCCTCTGGTAACCACGCCATTAGTCATCGGCTGAGACTGATCCTGATTTGGAGTGGTCAAGTAACCGTTAAGCTGATGATGAATCTCGCTGCCTGTCACACTCGACGGGTTTCTTTGTGGGTATTTTCTATCGCTAATTCCACAAGTGTCAAACTCATTGTTCAAGTCATATGCAGCTGCTCTAGCAGATGCAGATGAATGGCCAATGCGGAGAGCAGCTAAATGGTTTGCTGAGGCAACATCATGGAGCTGTTGGGATGGGGTTGGCCTAGCTGCTGCACCTGTTGAGGGGTAAACAGGTGGGTCCATCTTTCCATCGACATCATCCAAGCTACCCCAACCTCTGATGCCACTGTCTGGATCCTGGCTCGAGAAAGTACCAAGGTACAGAGAGGGCTCTGCCACTAGAATAAATAAGAAGTATGATCAAATACAAAGCATTTTGGCACATAGCAGTTAGAATAATAAGGAGCACGGGGAGACTTTAGACAACACAGGTGTTAAAGATGAGTCCAATTATTGGATGCAAATGTCCTGATTCACATGTGTGTATATAACATTTTTAAAAAGCAGATAATTACGGAGCAGGTAATTTAAGATCACGGGTGTTTCCAGAATTTTTATAATTAACCCATAAGCACCTGTGCGACATTGTATTACATTGTGTTTATTCACTGATAGAATCAATAAAACTAGAGTGCTCTGGCAATTGTATGGTGCTACAGCTACTATAGGGTTAGTGAAACAGTCTGAAATGAACAAAAGATATACACAAAATTATTATTAGTGTGTTCTTATCACCGTCAATACATCAATATTACTTGGTTATTCGATATTATTTTTATATCAATACTGCCGATAGACATTTTTAATCATATCGAAGTACCGAACATTTAAACACCTGAACACTGGGGAATGATCTCAAAATATGGACAATGCTTCAGATTATTGTCAAAATAAAGCTTGTGACTTTGTGTTCAAAGTTTGCTGTATAATGAAATAAAACTAATTGGCGCTATCTTGTGCTTGTGACTGAAAATAACAACATCGTGACATGCCAAGCGGCGACACTGCGTGCTCTGTGTTCACTGTAGTCTTGACCAAGGCTATTAGCTTGTTCCCGCTTCCGCACACAGCGTGCGCCGCGACACTATTACTATACCGTTAGCCTCGCGCGCGCTGTGTGCGGTAGCGGGAACAAGCTTGTAAGGGAACAAGCTGATAGCGTTGGTCAAGGCTGTGTTCACTGCAATTCGCTATTCAGTCCCTAGTGTAAAAACTCAAAACAAGTCTTCCCTGTTCTGGACAAACTCTCAGTGCTGAGTTTTTGGTTTTTGGAATCAAGTGTCATCTTTATGGTCTTTAACTTTTACATAATTGATACAGTAAACTCCGGCTAAACCGACATTGTACAACTTGTCAAATCGCTCAAGTCGGCCGTCTGACTTAAGTCCCGATTGTCCGTAATGCATTTCCATTGAATTTTTTATTTCTAAGTCGGCCTTTCTAAGTCGCCATTTCGCTCAAGTCGTTGTGTTACTCTCGGTCCCCTTTCCAAAAAAAGCATTACAAAATCCTGTAAATCGGCATTCAACAAGTCACACATTGGCATCGACTTCCTGTACTGCAGTTGGAAAGTCAATACCAGTACCCCCTCTCAGCTGTACGCATGTGCTCTGTCATTTTGGGGGTCTTCTTATTGAATGACTACTGTTGCAGTCAATGCGTGTGTGGTATACGCACGCATTTAATTCGTTACTGTGTACGTACATATGTGTCGTGGTCTCCACTGTCAATACCCCAAACGTGATGATACAATTCGAGGATTAATTTGCCGGATTCAACTCAAGCATTAAGGAGATAATCCAGGGTAAATCGAAGCCAATTAGTGCAATGAATCATGTGTGCATACCATTCATGTAAGTCGGCAAAATGACGGCTTACAGCATATGTCGGCATTCGCGTAAGTCATCACAAATTCTCGGGTCCCGAGAGTGCCGACTTAGCCGGAGTTTACTGTAAATTCTCTGATATTTTATTTCCAATACACATGTATCAATTATTGCAAATTCTGATATTGACGGTGTTAGTCTGTTCTAAAGTAATAAATAGTGATAGTGACGACAGCAATGGAATATGTTGACTATCAACTAAGGACGAGATCTTACAATATTCATCAGTTTGAGCTAATTTCTCACCTGACTCCTTTGAGATATCCAACTCGAATCGCTCCGCAGAACTGTCATCTGACAAGTGATCAGGACTTTGTTGTCTTACCTCCATCGGCTCTAGAGCCCATGGTTGAGAGCTTAATGATGCCATTGTTTCTACGCACTCAAGGAATTGTTCATCCTTTTTCTCTTCTGTAGAGATCAGATCAGCGATCCTAGCTGCCTCCAAATCGTTCCAATCAAATTTTGGGAGTTCACATTTAGGTAACGGTATGTTTGGATTGGCAAGGACAATCTCATTGAAATACCTCACAAGCTCAGAGCGTGTGGCATTATCAACGCCATTGTCGTCGATGTGTGACGGAATGATCATGTTCATGATGTTGGTGCCGGAAAACTGCCAGACCATTGCATCTGAGGGTAAATCTGTATTTCTGCATTGAAGTTGTCTCTCCCCTTTGCCCAAAGCAACTGCCTTAGGTTGTTCAGCGAGATATTCTCCATTTGGTGCACAGAGAAGAACTTCTTTATTTGGGAAAGGTGACCTGAGCATTTGGTGATCATCTCTGAGACCCTCCCGATGAACCTCCTTGTCCACTGAAGTTTCAGAAGACAAGAACACACTTGAGAGGAATTCTCCTTCAGGGATGTCATCACTTCCACCAGTTCCATACCCGCTGGACTTCTTGGACTGGCGAAACCTTTCGCCTTTCTCTCTTCCCGTATCAGAAATGCATTTTTCCTCTTCACTATTTACTTTAATCGTTGGGATGTCTCCGTTTTGGAATCTTTCACCACCAGATGGCTCCAAGCCGCTCCTTGATTCTTGACGACTTCGAACTTCACTAACTCCTCCACAATAACCGGCTGGTAGTTGTTGACTAGGAGTGTCCGTCTCCCTCGGAAGAACATCAGAAAAATCTTTCTGATGAGCCAAAACTATCTTCTCTCGTTTAAAATCAGCCAGCACTCCGGATGAGAAGGGAAGTCCATCTGAAACATCTTTCTTTCTAGACGGCTTTTTAGCTTCTGGTTTTTGACGTGCAATCTCTTCAGATGAAGTATTTTGACGATAGCGGATTGTCTCACTGTTTCTTTGCTTGAAGAGACGCCGATCAAAAGCTGCCAACTGCGCGCTGTAAACATACTTGGCAAAAAGCTGTTTCATTTTGGAAACATTTTCATTACGGGAATGGGGACAATTTTCACTTTGATTTTTTTGTAAAGGTGGATTTTTCTGTAAGGACTTTTTCTGTCTTGCAATGGAGTTTGGCAAAGTGTGGACCAAACTTTCTTTGCTGGATTCGTGGACAAGCTGGACTCTTGGAAATCCTGAGTGTCCTGTTGGTGCAATGTTGCCATTCAGAGTTGCATCTACGGGACCATCGGCAACGTCACAGTTTTCTGTGACTGCCGTCTGCCTGCAAAATGGCCTACGTCCTGGAGACATAGGACTTGATGATTGGACATCCATCTTGGAATCAGAGGTGTCAATGTCAAACTAATTTCTTTGAGAAGTCAGTTGCAGAAGAACGTGCTGGAGAAATGGTTTACTAAGTAACTCAGACAAATTCAAACAGAGGCCTCAGTTGTACACGTGACGATGAAGTAAGGTACATGTAGTCATCAGTTAAACATCTGCAGCCAAACCACGCTGAAACGGAAAGGACAAATAAAGAACTTTCAGTAATTAAGCCACATCACTAAAGTGCCGTCACATATTTCATAAAACAATTTCTAATTTCCGGTGAAACTGAACAGCTAATCACAAAGTATAGAGCAACACAATGTTTACTGATGGTAGAACAGGAGAGATAATATAAATGAAACTAATGAACTTCCGGAACACGCTGCTATCAGTACGTCACAGTTGAAAAGGTCACATAAAGATTGGACTTCCTTTCATTATCTATATTAACAAATTTTGTTTTTATCAAGCTGCTATTGAGGACTATTTGCACTCCAATTCCATGTGAAAAATGAACATGAAAGAAGTCCAGTGAACATTCTAACAATCAGCATGTTCTTATATACGTCATTACTTTAAATTGAAAGTTATTTACTTTAAATTGAAGTTATAACTTTGAATTGAATTCATTTTAATATGAAGCATTACAAGAGAAAAGAAACTGGCAGTGAACTCAACAAGATGGTTCTCAAACCATGCGTCTCGCCTGCATTCGCGATTATCTGTAAAGGGTGACCTTTGACCTTGGTATGTGACCTCTGACATCATTATCATTTAAAGGTTCCCATGTTGCATCCATGACCCAAGTTTGGTTCCAATTGGACTTTAACTTTTGAAATGAGACCAATTTTACGAAACTTCAACCAAAATACCACAGACATACCAACACACACTTTTGTTTTACCATACTCCCGAGGACAATGCTTTGTGTTTCCCTATGTCCCTGTAATATAACACTCTCCCATAGACTAAGCACATGAACCTACTACAGAGGACCGTACGTTTTACGAAAGACCCAACACCCGAGGACTGAAAGGATCTGTTGTTCTCCCTTTGTGTGTCGGTCCTCGGGTATATAGTGTGTGTTTATGATGTATGTAAATCAAGGACACACAAGTGCAACATCTTCGATGAATTGAGAACAGGAACCAAATCACGGACGACCTTGATTAGAAAACGTGTACAAAACCAATGAGAGCTATTGCCAAAAAGTTGGTATGTACAAAGGAAAAGGGAAGAGGAACAATAGAAAATCCTTGATTAATTGGGGTGCGCTCAAAAGTCCGACGCCTCATAAGTAAATTAAATACCTCGTTTTTCTGACGTCGGACTTATAAGGCGTCGGACTTATGAGGTGTTGGACCTATGAGGCGGAATAAATAAATTGTATGCCTCATAAATCCGACGCCTCATAAGTCTGAAATTTTGGACTTATGAGGCGTCGGACTTATGATACGGCCCCGATTAATTACACCATAAACAAACGTGTCTAAACACGTACACCTGTACACATACATACTACATGATGATCTGGTAAATCAGCTTGTACATGTACTACATACCTACCAGGTGCCTTAGTGACTGCGTAGCCTCTTTCCTGAACAAAGTTCAGGCGAGACAAAAACGAAAGTGATTTCTCATCATTTTTGGGAGTACCCTTCGATGAATCACTGACAAATGTATAGACTGATGAACCAGAAAATACACAAAAGCTGTGCCTGAATGAAACTTTCATTGTTTGAAGAGAATAGGGAAGGATCATAGCAGCCTTCACAGTGCGATTTTATTCTTTTTACTGCACGCATTTTCCTGGTTCAAACATTTTAACAAACAGTTCATACAAAAACCTATTAGGCCTACTGTATCAGAAAAATAAGACTCCTGGAATTGTGCACGGTGAAAAGAGCAAACAAAAAAATTCTTAAAAAATGAACTGAAACTTTTAGAAATCCAATTGTGGAATGAATATCAGTGGAATTATCAGGTTAAAGGGAAAATACAACATTTGCAAACATCAAAAAATAAAACTACAAATCATTTTGAAATACCTTGCTGGACTGTTAGTGAATGACAGTGTAAAGCATCCTGTAAAATCATGGCACCTGGTATACTGTCATTTTCAAGAAAAGTGGTATTTTTGTATCAATTTCCAACGCTGATCGGCTGATGAGCGTTGGAAAAAAACTGGCTTTTTTTCAAATACTGGCCCCAATTGACCATCGCACTTGTTTGCAATCGATTACAAACCTATGAACGGGTACGAGCCAGCTAGACTGGTTCCCTGACCTTACAATTCCCCAATGTATGTAAACTGCTCTGTTTCTTCTTATATGGAGTCAGGGAACCAGACTACAGGAAAATGATTGTTTTTCTTGGTTTTTATAGCATTTTCGAACCCAAAACCTCAAAAAAGTCAGTGTAACTATATTTGCTATATATTTCCAACCCCCCAATTCCATCCATTTCTGAAAATTACAGCAAAAGCAAATGATGTATATTCCCTTTAATTCAAACTTTTTGTCTGAATTTTGGTGGGAAGTAAAACTCGAGGGAAGTAAAACTTGTAAATTCAAGGAACCGGAAATAATATCACAAAAAGGGGAACTAAAAAAAAAAAAGAGGAAAATGCGTTTTCTGTGCATTTTGGTTCAGAGAAATGTTGACAATGACCAGATCACTTGTGCCTAGATTCCTGAAAACTGACCCATGTACAAGGTCTGTTCATCGACACAAAGTACAAAAATAGCTACAATCGATACCACACATGCGTCACTTACACAGGGCAATGGTGAATGTATTCAAACAATACATCAGCACAATAGGTGAACAGGACCTTAACGTTAGCTGGAAGCGAACTGAAAACAGTCCTTTTATGATTGACAAATCAAGTGGTACATTTCAATGGAAGGTGTGTCAGTCACAATTTTTATAACGAATGGAATAAGGGGTAACAAAATGTGTGTCAATGTCAGTTATTCTCAAATTCCAACATGGAACTTAGCAAATTTGACACAATTTGAGTAATGCATTAATTCATTGCTACAAGTGTTTAGATTTTACCACAAGGGAATGGGCTGATAGAAATTTGTAATTCCTATAACCTTCACAAATACAACTCAAGGGAAGTAAAACTTGGAAATTCAAGGAACCGGAAATAATATCACAAAAAGGGGAACTAAAAAAAAAAGAAGCCCATTCCCTTGTGGATCCTTCCCCACTAAAATAGAATTATAGCAAAATCTTTCTCCCAAAACATGACAAGGGAAAATATACCCCTCTTAGGCCAAAAAAAAAAGTCTCCGGTTTCTGGTATGCGCGCGCGTCGCCGTAGCCATGCGCGTCGGCAAAATGAAAAAGTTTTTTTTTTCAATGAAAGATGATGTCTCAAAACCGCCAAACTCACTGGTTTGACTGGAATCCTGCTGCGGCACAATTTTAACTAATTTTTGGATGGGGTTATGATCAAGAAAGAGCTTTATGTGGCCTCTCTGGACTCCCATATATATTTGCCCTAAGTTAAGTGGGGCACCATTTGCAGTCATCAGCCGACATTTAAGGGAAAAAAAATCAGGTAAAAAAAAAAAAAAAAGCCGCGTCGCCGCACCACTTTTTGGGCAAGCTCCATACCAGAAACCGGAGACTTGTTTTTTTTTGGCCTTGGGTCAAACCTTAAAAATTGTGTGCTTACAACCTACCTGGAATTTTTGTGGCCAACTCGCCGACCTCAAACTTTTTATTACCATTTTGCCAAAAAATTAGCACACGTACATGGTTAACGAGTCTCAAACATTGCAAAAGAACACACAAATGCATTAACAGAGATGAAAAAAAGACAAAATAAAACTATTTCCCTATTTTCCTACCTGGATATTTTTGAGGCCGTTACCGTAAACACACCGTTTATTTGTTTGGCTTTATTTACACTGAAAGATTGAGGGCTGCCAGAAGCTTTCTCATAATCATATGCACATATGAAAATTAGAAATTAGGGGTTTGTTTTCTAGATGGCTGCACCGCATTCATCATACTTTTAGGTTCGCTCGTACCCCCCGCCCTGCAAACAGGGCGCTGGGATACTCTGATGAGCTTCACAGAATCTTGTGAAGGAAGTGGCCTATGACCTATGTATAAAGCATCTGGCTGCAGCTGTTCAAAACCGCAGTAAGACAATGTGCGCAAATGCTATCCGAAAACTTCCTATAGAAATGCGCGCATTCCATACCGGATGTGATTACTGTTTCATTGCGGAACATGTGGACAAAATTTTGAGCATCGATCGCATAATGTAATCCGACCGTTTGTGATTCGAAACGGAGCCTGAGCAAGTGACGGGAATTGTAAATTTACAACATAGATAAGTTATTACGGAATTTCCTACATTATTACGCTTTTCAACAAAAATAAAACATCTCTAAACTGGAATAAAAGAGTAATGAATCAGTCTTAACGGCCGTTTCAAACCTTGCAGAGTCATGACCATGATGACGCGTAGGTCACAGGTCACGCAAAATCCAACCTATCAGAGTGTGAATTCATCAGAGTATCCCAGCGTCCTGTTTGCAGGGCGGGGGGTACGAGCGAAACTTTTATAGGCCCATCATAAATGTTCACATGACTACCCTACCATTATCTCAGTAGGCCCTATTTATTTGACATATAACCATATCTGTTGCATAATTTACTGATTGTATTGAATACACAAGATTGATTGATGGGTTAATAAAACATTAACCTTTAACCTTTTTGATAGAACTTTGGTCACGTCTGAATTACTTAAATGGCTGGAATTTAATACATGGGTTTATGGCTGCAGTGCTTCCATAGGCTTGTGTGTAATTTCCAGCCAAATAATTTGAATGTCGCCATAATGACAATTTGTATGCAACAGGTGGAACATAACTCGTTGGTTGCACCACGAACCGACGTATCGCTTTTTTTGTGTTTCGAGAAAAACAGATTTAAAGCCCCTGTCACACTTTTGCATATCCCAATTCCTTATGAGTTCCTTATCAAACATTTTTAATACGCAGCCGTACAATCAAAAACGTCGAAATTTTTTGATTACTTTGACTTTGTGCGACGCACATCTAGCGAACAAGTAACGAATTCAGGGCATCCACTGCGTATGAGATGCGTATGAGTTGCGTATGCAGTGCGCAAGTTCGCTATCTGTGCGTTTCTCGTAAGTTACGAATAAGTACAATGCGTTGCCCGCTCGCAAGACGAGCAATACGTCGGCATTCGATATGAGTTCGTTCAAGCGTGCGTTGTATCTGCGCTGCAAGTACGCTATGTATACGTCCAATATAGGAGGTCAGCGTATTACCGCGTATGAACGGCTTATACCCCATGAACACATACCGTACTCGTACCGCGCTCGACCGATGCGCTGCATATTTATAACTTATGACCTGCGTAACAGCGTACGCAGCGTAGTTTTGTGCATGCCCAAAACTATCCTGCGTACTGGGCCGTACCATGCGTATGCCTGCGTACATAAAACTTACACAAAACGATAGAGATGCATAGGAGGTGCGTATTGTGCGTACGAAAAAAATGTCAATGCGCAACTCGTCAGGAATTTGGATTTGCAGAAGTGTGACAGGGCCCTTAAGTTGGTCATTATTTTGTAGGCTTATTTTGTGCCTGTGTAAGAATTCAAGCTGTTTCGTTTTTGCTAGCATCATAGATTGAACTTTATTGTATGCAATCCGTGTGCATCTGAGTTGCTACGTTTTTGAGAAATTTAGCTACAAAGTTACTCGTCATCATGTTTATCGTATGTCACACAACGTGTGTAATAGTGGCTGTGTGCCAGATACTGTACATCGGTTTGTGAAACGCTAAATTCCAATTTCATGTCGACGCTCCTTTGTGACGTCATAGTACTATGGGAATTAGCGTGTAAAGCGTCGTATCGGGATACGCCACTTCGTCGTGCAGCATTTGTCATTTTTTAGAGATACGCCGCACAGTCTAATTAGCGTTCTTATTTAATTAGAACTCCGATCGGAATAAAACTTTCTGAGAATGAGAACTTTGATGAAATAATAATGTTAATGACAAAAACTCAATATGGCAAGAAATCGAGACACGCTGGTTTGTGGTGCGACCGACGAACTGCTACACAAACAAAAACTGGATCATACGTGTACATGTACAAGAAATAAATGCTAAACTAAGGTATTAAAGGGAATGTACATCATTGGCTTTTGCTGTAATTTTCAGAAATGAACTATTTGGGGTTAGTATAATAGATCAAATATTGTTGCACTGACATGTTTGACGTTTTGTGTTCGAAAATGCTGGAAAAACCAAGAAAAACAAAAATATTCAAGTAGTCTGGTTCCCTGACTCCACTAAAGATGAAATGGATCAAAAATACCGGAAAATTGTAAGGTAAGGGAACCAGTCTAGCTGGCCTGCACCTGTTCATGAACATGGAACCAATAGCTAGCAAAACAAAATTTAAACTAAAAAAAATGGTAAATTTGGAGCAGTAATTGAAAAATAGTTAGGTTTTTCCAACGATGGTCGGCCGACCAGCGTTGGAAATGTATACAAATATACAATTTTCATGAAAATGGCTTCACACCAGGTGCCATAATTTTACAGGATGCTTTAGCATGTCATTTACCAACATCCTAGTAAGGTATTTCGTAACAACTTGGTAGTTTTATTTTTCGATGTTTGCAAATGTTGTATTTTCCCTTTAAATATGAAAGACTGCATGCACAAAAATGCCCTACACGTCTCTGGGCAATTATAATTAGCACCCAAGAGCACCTTGTTTCTATGGTAACAGTAACTATAGTAACGATATACGCCATCCAGTATGCCACCTGTTGATCAATTAAACCATACATGGAGTTACATCAAAAACATGACAAATGTCTGAATCAGCAGGTGTCGGTGATACAGGAATATACAACATTTGCTTAAAGGGAATGTAGGCCTACATCATTGGCTTTTGCTGTAATTTTCAGAAATGAACTATTTGAGAGGTTAGTAATAGTAGGCCTATAGTAAATCAAATTTTGTTACACCGACATGTTTGAAGTTTTGTGTTCGAAAATGCTGGAAAAACCAAGAAAAACAAAAATGTTCAATTTGTCTGGTTCCCTGACTCCATTGAAGATGAAATGGATCAATTTATAGATGCTGGAAAATTGTAAGGTAAGGAAACCAGTCTAGCTGGCCTGCATCCGTGCATGAACATGTAACCAATAGCAATCAAAATTTGGACTGAAAAAATGGTAAATTTGGAGCAGTAGTTGAAGAATAGTTAGGTTTTTCCAACGGTGGTCGGCCGACCACCGTTGGAAATTTATACAAAAATCCCATTTTTCTTGGAAATGACTTCACACCAGGTGCCATAATTTGACAGGATGTTTTAGACTGTCGTTTACCAACATCCTAGTAAGGTATTTTGTAAAAATTTGATAGATTTGTTTTTCGATGTTTGCAAATGTTGTATATTCCCTTTAAGTTGTTCTAATTTCCAGAAATGGATGGATTTGGGGGTTAGTATTTAAAATACAGTTTACAAATTGTCAGCTCAGGGAACCACACTAGCTTGCACTTGTTCATGGACATGTAACAGATTGACAACAAAATGTGGACTAATTTAATAACTTGGGGGACAGTACGAGAGTACTGTTAGTATTATTAAAATTTAAAAACAGTCAGTTTATTCCAATATTTTATGGTTGGCTTACCATCGTTAGAAATTGATACAAAATTTCACTTTAAAAAAAATGACAGCACATCAGATGCCATGATTTCTAAATAAATAAATAATTTTTTTTTTTTTAAATTAACACAGAAACATGCAGATTATAATTCATGTAATTGGACTTGAAATAAATCTTAAAAAAAAAATGAATGAAAATATCAGTACTTACATTAAAGTTCCGAAGTGATTTACTTGTGTGACTAAGCAGGCTTTGCAACTGATGCAACTGCTAGTGCTAACCAACAATCGCACAAGGCAGCAAGGCAGTGGAAGAAGGGGAGTTGTGACCAGCGCGATGCGACTAGAGTCAACCGTGTGGACGTGGTTATGCACGGCAGCCAAATCCCAACCAAGCCGGTCCGCGTCCGTCAGGCGTTCCTAGTCCTTGAACCAGTGAGCTGCTCGAACAAACCGCTCCTTTTTAAACTCCTACACGGCATGTGACACTTGAATGGGGCTATTCATGACTTCCATTTAGTGACCTTCAATTCACAGAATACTATAATCCACTGTGGATGGTTCAAAATTCAATTGTGAAGCATTATCTGGAACTTCAAGTACAATTCGCGGTCCCCACACGGCCGACCCGGAGCTTGCGTGCTGCCTGGGAATTCCCGGAGCACGAAACACCATAGACTCGTCTAGTCGGTCAATCATCGGCAAATTATTCGTTACTGTTTCATACGGTGTGAAAATCAACTTTAGTAACACTTTCCACAGCAAATTAGGATTTTTATACATTTCTGAAATGCGAAATCATGTGTTAAGGTGCACTAAAAGTTGTTTCAGACAGAAAATGTATCGAAATCGGGGTATTATATGAAGGGAATATAACGTGCGTGGACTAGGCGAGTCTAGTAGCCACTGGCCTGGGGAGTCCGGAAACGCAGGCATTCACGTAACCGTGACCTGGTAACAAACCATGGGAAACTTTCGGCGGAAATTCCTTTTTTCCACATTTTCACAGAAGAAAATGCGGTACCCCAATTTAACTTTATTTCGAGAGAGGGGGAAACCTCAAACTATTTCTAGAAAACAAAGCTGTCTAGTGTAAATTCAGAGTAGCCGACAAATAAAGATACAGAAAATCTTGATCGCCCCGGCCCCCGCGGCAGCATTGTTTGTGCTGAATGCAGACAATGCAACCTTATTTTATTACAATAAAAAAGCGACTGCACTTCCACTTAATTTTGGCTGTGGGAAATTCAGATGATGAGAAATACATAATAATGTAAATCACAATTTGCGGCTCCAAGAAATTTTATTTAGAGACCGCAACAAAATTCCGATATTCCTTGTTCCAATTTTTTGGTTATAAATTCCAGGTTTGGTGTCTTGAGATGTTAACCTGCCAAGAGGTTTTATCATGACATTTGTTTCTGTTTTTTTTTCTGCAAGATATTCCTATGTTTGCGACCCAAGAGGAGGTTTAACCTCGCCCCTCGTAGACCAGCCTATTCCATCCCCTAGACGACAAAATTACAGTTGCATTAACCCCGTGCTCTTCCTAAGGAATTTTCAATTTGTATATTTTGTTTCAAGGATATACAAAAAATCATTATTCCAAAGTTTAAACGTCTAGGAAAATAGCTGCTATTGAAAAATACCAAATCTATTTTAAATTGAGGTGAAACTCAAAAATAACACGGGAAACCATCTTTAAAATGAAGGTACGAAATCCACGGACATAATTACACTCGGAGCATGCAAGATGTTTCAACGATTTGTTTAAAATCTGAAACCAAACATTCGAAACTTATTTTAAAACAATCAGATTCCTTTTTGAAACACCGGCACAGTTTAAACCACGGGAAGCTTTCTACGGAACCCCGCCAAGGTCGGATCCAGAACACAATGTTCTCGGGAGGGGGGATGTTTGTTCCCCAAAAAAGTAGGTCCAAAACTTTTCCGCCCCAATGTAATTAAGTATCGGTAAAAAAAAAAAAAAAATGTATCGCTTTTGTTGGTGTTCACAGTGGCTGCCTTTTTATGCGGCGTTACTTAAACAAAAATGGGTTCATCTTTTTTTTTGGGGGGGGGGGGGGAGGAGGGGGGGGGGAGTGCCATGCCATTGCCCCCCCCCCCCCCCCCCCCCCCCCCCCCCGATCCCCCGCCGTTGAACCCCGCCAAACTATTTGGAGAAACATGCATCATTCCTTAATCACATGATTTAAATAGGCATTACAATTATAACAGTTTTGCTAATTATTGTATTTTTTCTCACACGGGAAATTTGATGCAATGTGAAAAACGAAACTATATTGTATACGCGTCTGATGCATCAAATGCCTGGACAGTGACGACATAAAGTAAGAATAATTTATAAGAGGGAGACTGGCTTATATTAAAGCCTGGGGAACTCCGAATAGTCCAAAACGAAAACGAAACTATAAAGGACAGAATTCTGAGCAACATTTTCCTGCCGGATAAGCTCGTTATCTTGGCGTGTGTGGGGTCGGCTTGAGAACGAGGACATTGTGTGGATAATAAAATACATATTTACTATTTCCAAAATCCATGAAAGAATCAAACAATAAGACAAAGTCTTTTAAGGGAGCAATGGAACGCCAGTGGTTTCATTTCAGTTTGATGTGAACCACTCGAGTACAAGCGAGTTTTATCATTGTAAAGATTTGATTTTTGATAAAATGTGACACCTGTCACATAGGAGGGGGTGGGTGCATTGAGGCGGGTAGATTCCTCCCTTTTAACGCATGTTGTTTGTTTTCGATGATATCACCACTCAAAACCCAAAGACGAATGTTCAAAATCTAACCCGTTGAAGTTTCAGCTCAGTGGATATTTAGCCTACACTTTTCGAGAAAACAGTGAATAACCGTCGATGCACAGCCTTTTGATCACGATACCCAGTTTCTACTATAACTTCTTCATTTCCAAAAATCAGTCAATTGACTGATCGTTGGAAATTACCTACATTTCTTTTAAATGACAGCAAGCCAGACGGAACGATTTCATTGTACGATCTTCCATTAGGCCATCAGCCTGGGGGTTTGGTCGGTATCAAATGAGGGGAATAATGCTCATTGTGATTTTTGGCAAGGTATGCACCCCTGTAGTTGGAAACTATGTGATAGCTTTGCAGATAGCAGCTTTTGTGTACTTTTTTAGTTTCACTTAAAAAAAAAACATGGCGGCCATAACTTGCTTGTTACCATAATTAATCCAGTAACAAGTATATTGGCGGCCATTTTGAGAAAAAAAAATTAAAAGTGATAACACTCACAAAATTGCCACCCGGCTCACTGCAAAGCTATCAGACATTTTCCAACTCTAGATGTGCATATCTTGCCAAAAATCGCTATATGAGCGTTGCTGCTTTCGATCATTGAATAACGGTAGCTCAATTTTTGGACCAAAGCTGATAGCCTAAATCTAAATTGGCTTTTGGACAATTCTTTGGTAGGTTAGTTTGGAGATTAAAGCAAATGATTCTTTAATTATGCCTTTAATAACATGATTTAGCTATCAGTAAATAACCAGAGAGCAGACTTCAGTGACTTGTCACTCTCGACTCCCATTTCCGTGACTCGGACGATGACGAATGACTCGGCCTCTAACTCGGACTCGACCATGCGGACTCGGACTAATTGGACTCGACCTGCGTGTGCCTAGACTCGGGACCAGTGGCGTCACCAGACTTTTCAGTCTGGGGGGGCACAGGGGGGGCACCAGCATTTGATGGGGGGGGGGGGCACTTAGGTGGATACGGATCGCCGTCCTGGGGGAGGGGTCTAAGGCTTTTTTTTCTAGATTTAGTTTGCCTGCTTCTCATGCTAATGGGCGACAACACAACCGTGACCTTTCCAGTTCAGATATAGCTCATCTTTGCTCCTTCAAATTAAGTCTGAATAAGGTAAGAATGTTGCATCCCGCGAGTGCCACTTTTTTCATACTGTATCGCATTGGCGGTCAATCATTGCAAAAATACAGAAAAGACAAGAATCATTGCAAAAATACAGAAGAGACAAGCATTTGGGACTGAGAAACATTTCCAATTTTGTTAGAAAATACTTTGAAAATGCACTCAACTCTCCATAGACAGTTAGTGCCGTCTGGAGACTACATTCTTTCCCTGAATAATTGTTTACTTTTTAATTTAGGTAAATACACAACATGGTTATTAATGAACTACACCTTGACATGCTTTTCATAATAAATGTTTCTTTTTTATTATTATGACTCTTGTGATTTCTCTCTTTGTTGCCTATTTACATTTACTATCAAAGCCCATTTTTGTGTTCAATTATTGCAGGAATCAAATACATCTTTATCCTTCAATGTAAAAGATGTTTGCAACACTGGCAAAAAATCATATACAGCAAACGAACGTTATATAAAAAAGCCACGCGAATTGTTAGCACTGCTATACTACAAAGCGGACAAGTTGATCATGTTCCATTTCATTTATCAACATACAGTAATATGCAACAAAGTGCCGAACAACCAGAAAGTCACCAGCAACATATACTCATTTCATACTTCAAATGGAGATTCATTTCAATTATATCCCACATGATCACGGCTGTTCCTTTTTACTATATTTGTTAAGTTCAAGCATTAGTTTACGATGGAATTAAGCTTTTATGCCAGTGTCTATATTTACAGTTGAATAAAATAACACGTTTAATGTTACAGATTGCATAATAAATGAAGAGCAAAAACAACAAAGAAACAAAATAAAACACAAGGCAAAGATGTCTAAAGAGTCACAACTTTTTAGTGTCTGAAAGTTAATTTGTCACAGGTATGTATGTAAACACATTCATGTGGTTTTCCATTTGGGAAAATGGCTTTTCCAAATTGGAGCTCAACTGTATTCTATGGATTACATGATAGAGATTAGTGCTATTATACAACGGATAAAAGAAACAAACTACTTGAGTAAAGAAAAGCTCTAACTTATTGCATTCTTTTAACTAACTGGAATTAGTTTTATGCATGTTGACCCAGGCACACAAAAGTAAAGTGTAGAATTTGTATACAAAGTAAATAAACAAAATGTTCAAGTTCATTAATTGTTAGATACTTCTCCAATGAGACAGAGAGCCCTGATTACTGGCACAAGAACTGAGGTTTGTACAAAAAAGTTGCTGTCATCGGTTTGTGGACTGCACCAACATTAGAGTACTCGACAGGCTGACCGGTTGCACTGCTAAATGTATGCAGAACTTGAGAGTGATCACTCGGAGTATTCTGCCGCTCATTTCATAGTTTCTGTTCCCCAAGTTTGCTCTGTAAAAGAGAAAATATTGAAGAATGGACTAAGCATTTACATTGGTATTGAAATACAGGATGAGTAAAAAACAAAAAACAAAACGAATCCCAAATGTCAGGACTATTGTTTTACTGAAGTCATTTCTGCATGTAGCACTTTCAAAATCTAGGGTATGCAAGTGCAAGTCATAAGCTTTCTTTTAGTACAAGAATCATTCAAATCACTCATGTAATTTTTAAGTTACGGAATTTTAAACACAACCACCGTTTAAAACTTCTGTCCACGGATCACAAAAAGTTCAGTGTTCTTTCAGCAAAACGAAAACAAATCACATAGGGATGTGTGTGAATTGTTTTCGTTTTGCTGAAAGAACGCACACCTTTTTTTTGTGATCCGTGGACAGAACTTTTATTTAAACAGTGGTTGTGTTTAAAATTCCGTAACTTGAAAATTACATGACCGATTTGAATGATTCTTGCAATAAAAGAAAGCTTATGAATTGAGCTTTTATATCCCAGATTTAGAAAGTGGTACATGCAGAACTTCAGTAAAACAATGGTCCCAACATTTGGATTCCGTTTTTATTGACTCATCCTGTATAACAGGGATGCATTCTGAAGAAAAAAAATGTGAATGCATTTTATGGACATGTACTTGTCAACTTCAGTTCCAGGATGACTAACATCTCACAGGACTGGATGACATTTGAGCAGCCCACCATACATGTGAGGCGTTCCAGCAAAGTGAGACAGAACTAGGCAGAGGTCGAAATGAGAGTTTGTGGGCATTAGGAAAGAGAATAATATTCTCCTTACAATACTGTTTGTGGACAAGTTTAATATGGCTCAATATTATGGCTGATTAAATTCCAATTTACCAACGTCAAAAAAGTAAAATACAGAGAAAAAAAACCAAACCAACTTTCGAGTTTTGTCGTCGTGAAAATGAAATATGCCAACTGTTTTACCTTTAAAAACATTTTTATTCCACGATTTGTATTCTATTTCTGTATCATGTGTAGTAGACATATCAAAGATTACTAATATATCAATTAATCTGAAAGTCCAAAATAAGGCAAAAAAAAATAAAAAATAAAAAAATAGTTCTGCTTCTCCGATTACATGGCATTTGAAAATAGGGTAGGTAGGTAGGGAATTTTTTTTTTTTCTTTTGCAAATTTTGTTTGTGTACGACCATATGGAGGCGTCTGCATGTTGTCAAGGTAGAAATTGATGGTTTTGGGTGTTTTTTTTCCTTCTAATTTTTCCAATAAAAACATTGGGGTAGGGGCTGTCAGAATAGGGTAGGTAGGGAAACCGGAAGCAGAATGATTGTTTTTGGCCTAATCAATCCATTGAAGTTTTTGTGTGTGTATATTTCTACCCTACAGCCTGTACCCAGTTCCGTCTCATTTTTGCCAGAATGCCTCACAAATTCTCCGATTCAATTTGTTTCAAATACGAAACACTGTCTGTGTTAGGTGAAGGTATAATACGAACTATAAAGAAGAAAATAATTCTTAGAAACACTTATTGTTTTACGTTTGTTTAGTAATTCATTTGCTTTTGCTGTAATTTTCAGAAATGGATGGAATTGGGGGGTTGGAAATATATAGCAAATATAGTTACACTGACTTTTTTGAGGTTTTGGGTTCAAAAATGCTATAAAAACCAAGAAAAACAATCATTTTCCTGTAGTCTGGTTCCCTGACTCCATATAAGAAGAAACAGAGCAGTTTTACATACATTGGGGAATTGTAAGGTCAGGGAACCAGTCTAGCTGGCTTGTACCCGTTCATAGGTGTGTAATCGATTGCAAACAAGTGCGATGGTCAATTGGGGCCAGTATTTGAAAAAAAGCCAGTTTTTTCCAACGCTGATCGGCCGATCAGCGTTGGAAATTGATACAAAAATAGCACTTTTCTTGAAAATGACAGTATACCAGGTGCCATGATTTTACAGGATGCTTTACACTGTCATTCACTAACAGTCCAGCAAGGTATTTCAAAATGATTTGGTAGTTTTAATTTTTTGATGTTTGCAAATGTTGTATTTTCCCTTTAAATTGTGTTAAAATTTGTGACCTCTGCTGTAGTTACCCATAGTGACTCCTAAAGCTAGTAAGTTATAATTTGAATAAGTAATGATGGAGTTGAAGTGATGTGGAGGTCAAGTCCAAACAAAAAAAATAGTCGGTCTCTGGTCAGACCGAAGTTCTGGAACTGATGCGGTGACGCGATTTTTTTTTTTTTGGGGTGGCTGTTTTTTTTTCAAGCTTGAATTGTACAGACAAGGTGAGTACTATTTTACTTTTTTGTGTCCTCATTATACATTGGTGTCCTCCATAATTTGCCTTGGTGCCCATTATCATTTGCCTTGGTGCAATTTTCCCATTCCTTGGTGCTCCTTGGTACAAATATTTGAGGAAGTGCGGCAATAGAGGGCGCTGTTGAAGCTTCCGTGTTAATTTTGAAAAAAAAAAGGTTGACGCGCATGATTAAAACTGACGCGCGTGCTGACCAGAAACCCAGTATTTTTTTGGGGGGGGGGGGGGCCTAAGGAGCAAAAGTATCCACTGAAATTTAGGTTGACTGAACTATCAAATCTACATGTATGTACATTAATTCTTAGAGTATTTAGACCTAGTCATAAATCTTACTCTTTGATCACACTAGTTTTAAAGGGAATATACAACATTTGCAAACATCGCAAAATAAAACTACCAAGTTTTTACGAAATACCTTACTAGGATGTTGGTAAATGACAGTCTCAAGCATCTTGTAACATTATGGCACCTGGTGTGACGTCGTTTTCAAGAAAATGGTATTTTTGTATACATTTTCAACGGTGGTCGGCCGACCAGCGTTGGAAAAACCTAACTATTTTTCAACTACTGCTCCAAATTTACCATTTTTCAGTTCAAACTTTGTTTGCTATTGGTTACATGTTCATGAACGGGTGCAGGCCAGCTAGACTGGTTCCCTTGCCTTACAATTTTCCATCATCTATAAATTGATCCATTTATCTTTTGTGGAGTCAGGGAACCAGACTACATGAACATTTTTGTTTTTCTTGGTTTTTCCAACCTTTTTGAACACAAAACGTAAAAAATGTCAGTGTAACAATATTTGATCTATTATACTAACCCCTCAAATACTTCATTTCTGAAAATTACAGCAAGAGCCAATGATGCACATTCCCTTTAACTCCTATAAAACCAAATAATACACTACCTAAGCTATATGGGATTAGGCCATTTTATCCATTTAACTTTGGTAGACTCACCATACGTCTGCTCTTCTGTGACTTGAGTAGGAAGTGCGTTCTGGTATTTGTGAGCTAACTGACCTCTCAACACGGCTTCCAAATCACGGTTCTCCTAATGATTGGTGAGTTATAAGGTGCAACAAGCATGCAAAATGAAAGTACATTTAGTACAGGGTGAATAAAAAAAAGCAGAACCCAAATCCCCGAAATTATATTTTATATTTTAAAAAAATTATGTAGCACAAAAAATAATGCTTGGAAAGCCAATTTTCTAACCTACTTTCAGATGAAATTGCTCAAAGCGTTCAAAGAATATCACCATTTAAACGCAATGACCCTAAAACCTGTTTCATCCAACAAAAAAAAAAAAAGCGATTTATTGTGTATTCTTACTGTTTCGAACAACAAACATGACAAAGAAAATGACACAGAATACTTGTTTCAACATATGTCAACAACTGAAGTACACAATGTCTTTAATAACAACCCTGGTCAGGCAAACAAAATGATTTAGAAAATACACTTATTGGAAGAGACGGGCCTTCGAAAGGACTTTGTTGAATACGTTTAACTTTAAAATGTGGTTTTATCGCTGGTGATTTTTGAAGACAATTGTGACGGTGATTCTTGAAATCGTATTTTTGGACGAAAGGGGTTTTAGGGTCATTCTGTTTAAATGGTAATATTCTTTGAACGGATTGAGCAAGTTCTGTTTTTTCATCTAAAAGTAGCTTACGAAATTGGCCTTTCAGTCATTATTTTTGATGCTACATCTTTTTTTTAAACATGGGGTTTGGGTTCAGTTTTTTTTTACTCGCCCTGTAGTAACTAGTAGAAAGAAAATACAAGGTTATTTTACAAATTTGAAGATGATGAAAAGTATAAATCTTATCTCTTGGTCAACTAACAAACATGTCAGAAATTTTTTGAGAAAAATAATGACAACAAAAATGGCACCAAATTCTAATAAAAATGAAACCAATTTCTCATGTTAGAAATCATGAACGAAGGAAAGTTTGCCAATTAAAAATGAAAGGAACACATGAATTAATTAAAACAAAATTGAAGAAATACACAAAAACATGAACAACCCCTATTTTTTTCTTTGGGCTCCGTGCGCCAACAAAAGAGGGCGCGTTTTTACCACTTTTGAGAGCACCGTGGACAGGACACACAGCATGTGCGTACTGTACTGTACTTGTTCGCGCGCAAAGTACGCATGACTTCCTGAATGTGCTTAAGTTATTACCAACAACGTCTTCACGTGAGCGTCAGGTGTCGTTCGCGTGCAAATTCATTCAAATTTAACTTGTGATGGTCTCCCAGACTAATTCCCGCCCCCAATAACTTTGGATCATTCGAAATACGCAGTGGATGGACTGGGAACCAGTCTAGGTCTCCCCCAACTCTTCTTTTCTGACCGTTGAAGGAGTACTTGTACACGGAGCCTGTACTCAGAAACGTGTGTTCACCGTCGATCGTGGACGTCAAATTGTCCCTCTTTTGTTTGTACTATTTAGTTTTAGGAAGACTCCCTTAGGTTTTGTACACGACCCCAATCGCGGACGTATGCTGGGAATCGTGGACGATATTGTTCTCTTTTGTTCTCTGGTATTTTTTATCCACGGTTTGAAAAGATGAACACGTACACAATGCTGTGAGATGACAGACACAATCATTCACAAGGAACCAAATTGATATGAAAGTTTGTAGTCAGCAACCTACCTTTTCATGGCTTTCTTGTCTCATGTACTTGTTGCTCTGTGATCTGCACAGTGGTTTGAGAGCTGACTGAGCCTGTTGCAGTGCTTCCCGCTGCACAACCTGTAGGGGTACTCTGTTTGCTTGCCTAGGCTGAGCCAACTGAGGCGGTTGTTGAGGCATATCAAATGATGGTTGGTGTGGAGGTGGTGCTGGTGGCTGGGTAGGAGGCTAGCAGGGCAAAAGTATCCACAGTATCAGGGTTACACTCGAGTCCATCACAAGTACTCACAAGTAGAGGACAAGTGCATTTGTGATTTAGTTGTGACCAGACTTGCGATTGACTCGGCTATAAAACTGCCAAATAGTGGTTGAAATGGGCCTTATTCACGAGTTGGCCATTTTTGTCTTATTCCCTGAATGTATTTTATCAATTGTTATCTGTTGAATGGGATGGCGCCAGACTATTTATGCTGACACAATGCAGCCTTATTTTACTCTCATTTTTTTGTTAAATATGGCTTTAAACATTAGGGAATGTTTAATTATAAATTTCAATTATTCATTGAAGCAAACTGGAGTTTATTATAAATTAACTTGCTTTCATTTCTCGTCGCAAGTTCCAAAAATTAAGATTTTACCAAACTTTCAATTCAATATGGCCGACTCGTGAATAAGGCCCATTGAATATGACCAAGTTCCATTCAAACTATTTGAACTGACCAGACAGGTTTTTAATGGAATCAAAATGCAGGCTTTTCAAGCAGACCCAGGTGAAAAAGTAGGAGACCACTAGCATCATAATTTTCAACAACAAAAAAACAGGACGAAAGTAGGACTTTAAAGGACAAAATCAAAATAAAAGTAGAACTTTGGCGGGCTTTCAGGAGTAGTTTTCGTTGATATTCACCCATGTCCACAGCATCATAAGCCTCATTTGGCATGTTCTGTACCCACAACACTTGTGCTCCATCCTTAACTAAGCTCTTGGAAGTACAGTTGCAGTACTCCTGCGCCCAAGCCCTTCATTGTGTGATTTACATATGACAGTGTGCAACTCTTTTATGAAAAATATCCAATGAGATTTCATTTTTTTCGGAGTTGTGGGACAAAAAAAGTGGAAAAAAGTAGGAAAAAGTAGGCAGTTCAAGAAAAATTACGAAAAGTAGGAGCAAGGTAACCTAAAAAAAAAAAAAAGGAAAAAAAGTAGGAAGCCTTAAAATGTAATCCCTCAAGATTATTTCAACACAGGACTATTTATTAAGATTATTTCAACTAGGACTACTGCCTGGCCTAGTTGACCATATCTCACCTGTTGAGCAACCTGCTGGAATGGTCTGGATCTGACCTTTGACCCTAGGGCTGTAGAAATGTCGAACTGCTGACCGGACTGCAACTGCTCCATGAGAGTCTGAAGATAAACATTCATTGCAAAGATGACAAGATCATATGATACTTGATTGAATTCAGACCACATGACTGCACAGATATTATGATGAATGCATCAGCTTTATTTGATAACAAGCTATAATGGGTTTTACCATAGCAATTATTTGGATTAAATAAATAACTTGGCAACGAAGGGATTGAAATACAGGGCGAGTCAAAAAAAGCAGAACCCAAATCCAAAAATATATATTTCATTGTTTGGAACAAAGAAAATGACACAGAATACTTGTTTTAACAACTGACAACTGTAGTGCACAATATCTTTATTAACAACCCCGGTTAGGCAAACGGTATGATTTATAAAATGCACCTTTTTAAAAAGACGGGCCTTCAAAATGACTTTGTTGAATATTTTTAACTTTTAAACCGAGGTTTTACCGCTGGTGATGTTAGAAGACAATTGTGACAACCATTCTTGAAATCATATTTTTGGACGAAAGAGGTTTTAGGGTCATTGCGTTTAAATGGTGATATTCTTTGAACGAATTGAGCAATTTCAGTAATTTTTTCATCTAAAAGTAGCTAATGAAATTGGCTTTCCAGTCATTATTATTTTTGGTGCTACATATTTTGTTAAATATGAAATATAATTTTGGGGTTCTGCTTTTTTGACTGACCCTGTATGTTGGGCAACATAATTTTGATTCAGGCTAAATTGTATGACAATTGACGCTTGCAGTTATGATTGACTGCCTTACCCTAGTCACTGCCGTGATGCTGGTTGGTGAATTGATCTGTGCGTGACTCAGCTGGGATATTAAACTCTTCAGGTGCTCCTCTGTCAAGTTAGGCTTGCTTGCTTCCTCTTTATGAAGAAAGACAAATGTCAAACTATTAAATTGGATATATGTGAGGCGTTATGGCAAAATGAGACAGAACTGGGCAGAGGTTGAAATGAGGGTTTGTGGGTATTAGGAAAGAGAATACAATTCTCCTTACAATACTGTTTGATGCACTTCAATTGTTGCACATTCTGTTATGGCTGTTAAAAGATTGCATTTATCAATATGTCAATAAAATCAAATACTGGGAAAAAGGTCTTTAAAGTCTCGACTGTTTTGTTGTCATGAAAATGAAAGACGCCAATTGTTTTTCTTTAAAAACACTTTTATTCCACGATTTTTATCAAAGATTAAAAATATCAAAAAACATGAAAACAAAATAACCTCAATTTTTAATTTTTTTTGGGGCTGAAACAGCCTTTGTTTTCGCTATTAAAGATTTGTTTCTTTTTCTTTTCTCTTTTTCTTTTCAGTGATCAGCCCATAGCATTTGTACACGTTTTTTGTAACCGGCACTTGGATGTGTTATAGATGAAAATTGAAGCGACGTCATCATGACATCATCACGTGTCACGTGACATCACAATAACATGAATAAAGGTGCATATCTTGAAGGTTTATATCTACAGAACCAAAGGTCCAATTGGGTTGAAAGTTGGCATGTACCAAGACCAGGATGTGTTATAGATGAAAATTGAAGTGACGTCATCATGATATCATCACGTGTCACGTGACGTCAATTTAAAAGTGCATTTTTCTGTGGCCTATATCTGCAGAACTATAGGTCCGATTTGGTTGTATCTTGGTATGTATCTAAGCCGGGATGTGTTATTGTTAAAAATTGAAGAGATGTCATGATGATGTCATCCCATAAAATGTGACGTCACATTAAAGGTGCATTTTATAAGCATATATCTACGGAACCATTGGCACTGATCGATTTGCAACTTTCTGCTGATCTCTGTCCCATCAATCTATAACATGATATAGAAATACAACAACATATTACCGAAACAGCCATGTGTTTGTCCACATACATAAATCTAGGTTTTTTTTCGGCATATTTCTCCACTACCACCTGTCATGCCTGTGTCCAGTTCTGTCCCATTTTGCCAGAAAGCCTCACACGTTTAAAAGTTAAATGTTTCCTTACATTTTACTATAATTCCAGGAATCTCTGTCTATCTGTTTGTCCGTCGATTATCTCCAGAACCGGGCACCGTATGAAGTTGAAAATCGGCGGGTATATTTTTCGGGACAACAGAATGTGCAGTGCAAAGTTTGAAGTTGTTTGGACCAGCGGTTCTCGAAAAAGCTACAAAAAAGCAGTATTTTCTGAGGCAAATGTGGCAGTATATATAGCTTAGAACATAACACCCGCACGCGCTGAAGTTCTTTTCAATTGTTTATGTCATGTAAAGCTAAAGCGCGCATGCTCAATATGACGCAACACCACGCGTGCGTATGGCGCACCGAGTTGTGGACTGTGTTGTCACAATTAACACTGCATGCGTGTACGTACGTGCAAAGAGCTAGCCATAGAGCTAGCTGACCTTCACTGGGGGGATATTCCACTATCAACAATGGGTACTTCACTGGGGGGGGGGGGGGGGGGGCTGGGATAAACAATAACACAGTTTAAAAAATGTGCGTTCAACCTGTGAGTGAACGTGTGCGTTCAACCTGTGAAAACAACACCATTGAATCGTGTGCGTTGTTTGCACGAGCAGTTCTCAAAAACTCTGCAAGCATGCAACCAATACCAGCGGCAAAGCAATTTGCGCTTCCTGAACATGCACATTTTAGACGGGCACTGCACTAGTTAAAGCAAACAGGAGAGCCATCAAAATTGAACAAACGACAATAATCTGAAAACCAAACATCTGAATTAACTTAAAATGGTCAGTGGGACTTGAAAATATACTCGCAGTCAGTTGACCTTTGATTGATTGAGAAATTGTGGATAGGAATTCACAAGGTCGGTTTGGAGTTAAGGAACAGATAAAATAGAAACCAATGTCATGGTTGATTCTTGGGTTCCAAGCACAGGACTAATTCAAGTCTACCGGTAGGTACAAACGTTGACTTCAATGCACAGGGAAATTTCTGTAAACCATTAACTAGTAGGCAAGACTCACCCTGCACAGGGGCTGCTTCTGACAGGAAATACGGATGCTTTCTGAGTTCAGGAATGGAAGGTCTTTCCCGAGGGTCTCTGATCAAACATTTCTTGAGAAGGTCAAGGAGATGTGGATTGTCAACAGCTGGGAACTCGATCACATGCCTATATATAGACAAAAAGAAAAGTAAAAATTCAATTCAGGGGATGTTTAAACCACTGTTTAAACACAGCGTAGAAGTGTTTCTTCAAGTTTGCCAGCAATAAAGGTGGTCCCTGAATCAGGATGATACATTTGTGCTTTCGTCTTTGAATTTTATTTTTAATGAAAGAGTATAATTTATTCTTCAATGTTTGTAAAGTTTTGAAGTTTGGGGAAAACGAGTGAGTAATTTGATAGTTTATTTCAGATAAGTTTTCTTTAGGGCAAAAAAAAGGCTCCGGTTTCTAGTCTGGGCGCGCGTCGCAATAGCCATACGCGTCGGCAAAATTCAAAAGTTTTTTTTCAATGTAAGATGATGTCTCAAAACCGCCAAATTCACTGATTTGACTGGAATCCTGCTGCTGCACAATTTTAAAGTGTTTTTAGATGGGGTTACGATCGAGTATAAGCTTTATGTGGCCTCTCTGGGCTCCCATACATTTTGCACTAAATTTAGTCGGGCACCATTTGCAGTCATCAGCCGACATTTGAAGAAAAAAAAGTAAAAAAAAAAAAAAAAAAAAAAAAAAAAAAAAGCTGTGTCGCCGCACCACTTTTGGGGCAAGCTCCATACCAGAAACCTAAGACTTTTTTTGGCCTTAAATTCATCTTCTAAATGGAGGAACACACACATGCATGCGAATCGAGCCAGTATCGGCAACCAGGACCCTAACCCGATTTTTTGTTTTGAAACCAGAACCTTAAAGGGCCCATGTAATGTAATGTTTTAATACTATCCTTGAAATTGCACCTTTGTATCCCATTTAACCTTATGTTCAATTTTCATTTTGCCATTTTCAAGGATATTTTGGTGCCTTTTAGGTTTTTGTGCTGATGTAAATTTTCATATTCATGAGCAAAAAAATGTGATGTCATTTTAGGCAGAAACCTTAATGTTACAGCTATTTCAGTACCAAAAGTTGCCAGAATAAGTTGGATATTTTGCTGTGGTAAACTTGTTCTTTTCTTTGGTGATTCGTTGTTGTGTCAGTACAAGGCAGTAAGCCAATGAACAAACTTTTCTCACAAATGTTTTCATTGAGCAAATTTTTGGGTTCACAATTTGAACAGAAAACCCCTAAACTGAACAGTATCTTCCTGAAATGACATCGCAGTAACAGCGCCCTCAGTTGTTAGGCAAAACAGGATAATATTTTTAATGTTTAAAGAAGTGCACTTTTCAACAAAATTAACCAGAAAGGGATGTCAAATAGTTTTCATACATTTAAAAGGAGTAGAAAGTTGAACACAAAAAGTATATTCCAAAGTAGAATCCATGTTGTGGACTTTTTCAAACTGCTCTATACCACTCTGTTATTCTGCTAATTACAGTTGCTGACTTTGTGACATTTGCTGTTTTCACTCTTTCTTGACGCATGGACTTAGAAGGCTTGGCCCAAGAGTAGGCCTACATGTACATACCTTGGATCACAGATGGCTTGGAGTTTCATTAGGCTGAGAGTGATATGCTGAAACGGTGTCTTGCCATAAACCATGTAGTAGAAGATACAGCCAAGGGACCACACATCACTCTTACAATTAATCTGAAAAAAAACAAAACAATGCTCACGTCCGGAATTCTGTGACACCTTCATCACTGGTTTGTTTAACATCAAATTCATGCAATCTCCCAACGTTTTTACGAGAGTGGTGCCCCTCTTTCTGAATGATTTCTGAATGACCAATCAAAAGGCTGCGAGAATAATAAGATTAACGGCCGAATGTCTGTTTTGTGATAAGCCGGATGAAAGACGATATTTCCCGGGGGACGATTCCTTGAAATTTGTTTGCATCGATGTTCAGCTTGAAACCTTAAAACTCCCTAAACAGTGGTCTGGGACAAACAGTAAATTGATCGCTCGGCAAATTTTCCACAAATATTTTCTGAAACCCGGTCTAACCTTTTCAAAACAGAAAAAAGGGCGAACGATTTTGTTATTGCACTGACAACAGCTTTCCGGACACAAATGCAGCGTGCGGTTAGATTTCACACCGAACCCTTCACCAATCTATACCGAGAGTTATTGCTTAGACGCTCGATATATATCTTACTGAAACTGGAGCTCAAGTTAAATTTCCTTCTCAGCCAATACGATCTTTTTCAGATGAAAAAAGAGCGGATGACGAAAATTGATTCACTTTTTATACTACAGGAAATGTTTTGTCAACTACCGTCTGCGATAACACTGGAGACTTATAGTTATTTGAACGGTTTTGTGAAGTTTATTGGAAGCAAGACAAACAGCACTTTTACGGTACGACTCCACATGAAGCTTGCTGGCTCCAGACTTCAATATGGGTGTTTGTTGACTTGGTCTTGCAATCTTATGAGCATGATATCATATTACGCGAAATCGTCCTATGCGTGTGTAACGAAAGACTGGCTCTAAGTTTCAATTAACATGCACAAAAGAGCCAAACAATAAATTGGACATTTAACAGAACTTAATATCCCTGGGGTAAATGTCAGCAAAGTAGGGGTAGAATGATGAAATGCTACCTTTCAAGTGAATGATGGAGGCCATCAATAGAATACTGGCAGGCTTATTAGTGACTGCATCTTGGTTGCTTTTGGGACAATATGTGTTTGATCAGAAAACAATTCCACACAATTGGGACAATGGAGAACTCAATTGGCTATGTAAAGCTTGTACTTCTATGGGACCGGACTATTGTCAAAGAGGAAAAAGCAACAAATAAGGCCCCCCAAAAAAGTCTCCGGTTTCTGGTATGCGCGCGCGTTGCCGTAGCCATGCGCGTCGGCAAAATGAAAAAGTTTTTTTTTCAATGAAAGATGATGTCTCAAAACCGCCAAACTCACTGGTTTGACTGGAATTCTGCTGCTGCGCAATTTCAACGTGTTTTTAGATGGAGTTATGATCGAGAATAAGCTTTATGTGGCCTCTCTGGACTCCCATATATTTGCACTAAGTTTAGTCGGGCACCATTTGCAGTCATCAGCCGACATTTGAAGCAAAAAAGTCGGGTAAAAAAAAAAAAAAAAAAAGCCGCGTCGCCGCACCACTTTTTTGACAAACTCCATACCAGAAACCGGAGACTTTTTTTTTTTGGCCTAAGAACTTGAAATTCTGAATATGCACGAGCATGGATTTGCTGAGGGCAAAAAGAAGTTTTTCTTTAAAACTTCACACATTGGTTCAAATCAAGTGCAGGGGTGGAATTTTTGCGGGGGGGGGGGGGGGGGGGGGGGGGGGTTGTATTTATTTTCATCAGCAAACCATTGCTGAAATGTACACAGTTTTTTTGTACGGACACTTGGCCTCCATAAAATCAATGGGGGGGGGGGGGGGGGGGGGGGAGGCCTCGTACCATACTTTCAATGGGGGTGCTGTTCAAATCTGACGATTATTAACACTATATCACAAAATTGTGTACAATACATACCCCACATAACGATAACCAAGCGGGCTCTGCCCGTATTTTGTGCACAGGCAGACACTGTTACATGTACCAGTATAATGGTTTTTTGGGTGTCAGAGCAGGGGGGTTTCGCATTATTTTAAAAGAAATTTCAATGAATTTTTCTTTTTTTGACATAGCTGTGATTTGTTTTTCCACCCCTCCTCCCTGGATCAACTCCTGAAGTGAGTGATTAAAGTAAGCGTTTTAATAGCAATGAAACAAATGGTGAACAGCTCATGGTTTGAAAAGAATGTTGCTTTTTTAAAAATTGATTTCAAATGACCTTCCGCAATCCTCCAAAGTCCTCTAGGCCGTTTTGGAGGATTTTGGAGGATTGCGAGGCTGAATGCAACATACAATTTTTGGAGGATTGTGTAGGATTGAGGGCACATGGACATTAAGTACTGGTTGATTTTGGAGGATTGAGGCTGAATGGTGTTTGAAGAAGAGATGGATTTTGGAGGATTGAGGCTCAATGCATTTTGCGAGGCAGGGCTGTTGGGGATTTTGAAGGATTGAGGCGCAGGGTATCCTTCATTTTAACATAAGTGCCAAATTTTTGGAGGATTTTGGAGGATTGAGGATGGTTCCTAGCAAAAGGGCCTAGGGGTTAGGGTTAAAAAACTGAGAGTGTGTCACAATCTTCTCTGATATCGGGATACTCCTCATTGGTCGATAAAAAGATTTCAGTTTGCGAAATGTGAAGAATCTCTCTAATGTTCACCTTGAGTTTCGGTCTCCTGTGTCCATTGGCGTCCACCTGGGGTGACGGTGACGTGTCCTGAATGGCTTCAGGTGACATGTAATTCAACGTCCCTACTTGAGACTCTCTGACCACGCTGGTCTTGTCACTCTGAATGGCATTAGCAATGCCAAAGTCAATCAGCTTCAGTGTGCCCTCCACAAATAAGAAGTTGGCTGGCTTCAGGTCACTGTGGACGATGCCTGGCAAAGAGAATGGTACAACCAATACTTTCTCAGCGGTGTATCTCAGAATATCCCAGAATATGTTTATTTCGAGTCACTAGAAAATTAGATAAACACTTTTAAACTTAACGGGAATATACAACATTTGCAAACATCAAAAAACAATACTACCAAATTGTCATGAAAAACGTACCTTACTGGACTGTCAGTGAATGACAGTCTTAAGCATCCTGTAAAATCATGGCACCCGTGTGCTGTCATTTTGAAGAAAAGTGGTAGTTTTGTATCAATTTCCAATGCTGGTCGCCCGACCAGCATTGGGGAAAAAAAATGGCTTTTTTTCAAATACTGCTCCCTATTTATTATTATCTTTTCAATCGATTACACACCTGTGAAAGGGTACAAAACCAGCTGGACTGATTCCCTGACCTTGCAATTCCCCGACGTCTATAAATTGCTCTGTTTCATCTTCAGTGGGGTCAGGGAACCAGACTACAAGAACATGATTGTTTTTCTTGGTTTTTCCAGCATCTAACGAACCCAAACTGTAAAACAAGTCAGTGTTACAATGTTTGCTATAAAATATAACCCCCCCAATCCATCCATTTCTGAAAATTACAGCAAAAACAAATGTTGTATATTCCCTTTAACCATTAATGATTTTCCAGTTCTTTTTCCAGTTTTGTTTTTGACGGCCAGAAAAAAAAAACGGATTTAAAGAAAAAAAATTGGAAAAGTGGCATCTCTGCATTATGGATTCACCCTGGTTAACAACAGTGGGTGGGAAAAAAACAATTATTGACAACACCACAAATTCAAGAAAGTTCATGGGCATTGGTCCTTGTAGTACCCCAACTCAGCCCTGCATGTTACTCCCTGTAACACCTGGAAACATTTTATGGGCAATTCCATGAGAATGTGGACATATGGCTAAAAAATGGAGAATTTATGAAATCTTAAAAAACTGCAAGCATCACAAATTCAAATGTGGTATCAGATTAAATGGGACAACAAGACCTTTCATTTGAGTGATGTGACATTGAGATGGATTATGGTCAAATGTATTTTTTGGTCAAAAAATCTTTTTGGCTAAAATTATTGATTTTAGCTAGTCCTTTTGGCACCTTGTATTTACATGCAAAATGCAAGTTTAATTGTAAGTTTTTGTTTTTAAGGTAGAGAGAAAGTTTCATATTTTATGCGATAAGAGATTTTCTATTCATAAGATGGAATTTTGCGTCGGGGCGATGTAAATCAATATTAGTTTTGCCCTTCCCCGACGTATAAACACTGTTTACTCAGTGTGTTACCTCCTGAGTGAAAGTTGAAAAAAATCACTCCGGTGGGACTCGAACCCACAACCTCCTGCTTTCTAGTGCAGATGTCTTACCACTCGACCACCGAGCTTACGTGATCGTAAGATTTTTAGTTCCTTGTTTAACTTGTACCAAAGATGAGCAGACAAACTGTCACGCGCGTTATCGTAACGTCAGTTACCAAAATATATCCGGCTTTTTGATAATTGAAATTATAGCATACGACCTTCACTCTAATGATGTAAGGGCCCTAAAAGATTTGTCCATCAGCGTACAGTTTGAGGAAACCTCCAAATGCAGGGTATTTCAATTGTTGCCACGTCCTTTTCTTGAGTTACCAATAAAAAACTTATTACCTAAATACCACAAGTTTAATTCTTTTGTTGTCTTTTTTATACTTTAGCCACTTAGACTCCCATATATTTGCACTAAGTTTAGTCGGGCACCATTTGCAGTCATCAGCCGACATTTGAAGCAAAAAAATCAGGTAAAAAAAAAAAAAAAAAGCCGCGTCGCCGCACCACTTTTTGGGCAAGCTCCATACCAGAAACCGGAGACTTTTTTTGGGCCTTAACTTCAAAGTATCTTCTGTGAAAAAAAAATCCATCCTCAATGCTTTAACTATTAACAGCACCGAGTTGACGGAATATCCCATCCAAATGTAACGTGAGTTACCATGGAATTGCCCTTATGGTTTTTATAGATTCATCAATGAATAAATACAAAACAATACAACATACATTTTTGTACTACAATGCATGCGTGTTAATTATGGGTTACACAGTTACACAGATCATGAGTGAGTTGCCATGGTCATACCTGCTTGGTGGACTACATCCACCGCATCCAACATCCCTCGCCAGTAGAACTTCATGTCTTGAGGGTCAATCTTCTTATGTTTACTCAAGAAGGTGGCCAAGTCGATGGATCCGCACTCCATGACCAGATAGATGTGGGAATCGGTGATCTCACTGAAGGAAACCAAGTTATCAAGGTTGAATAAACTGAATAAAGAGGGATACTATTGGCCATCTGGGTAAACAACTAAGCATGTAACGTGTACACATGTAAACATTTTATAACAAATTTTCCAAAATGTTTAAACGAAACTCGAATTACAAAAAAGGGACCCAGGTTCACGCGATCTTCCTTTTGAGTTAAACATTCATAGCACAAATCATTAAGGATTTTTTCAAAACTACTTAATTTACAAAAACTTAGAGGCATCGCAGCACTTGAGTTACAATTGTTGACTGCTGTGGTGTGGGATATAACACTTTGAACACCCGAGGGGCGCATAATGATGTTCAAAACGTCATATCCCACATCACAGCAGTCAACAATTGTTTTGTTATACCTCTGTCTTGGATTCTTTGGATTTTGATGTAAAAGTCACGCAAACAAACAGCAGTAAACACAACAATCATAACAATCTAACGGCAACTCACATGCATGTCGCGTGCTCGAAACAGCTGATCGTCTGCTAGTTCACTGCTCCCACTCATGTGTGAAAACAGCGTGGGTACCAACGATACAAGCGTTTCTCACCGTACGTACTGTACATGTACGTACAAATTTCATAGCACACTCCCTGTGGGATATCACGTACCACAGGGAGTGTGCTATGACTTTTTATATAACACGTGATCGCTCTAGGCCAATGAAAGTACAGTATTCAAGACAGAGGTATAACAATAGACTTTAGAGGTACCAGTAGTCAAGTTTTACTTTTTTAGTAATTGTCAATCATTGTTGATTTAGTCACAGTGGCATAAATCCGTGTCGGTGAGTGTGGGGAATGGCGGGTGACCACAATTCTAAAATTACCCTAATATTTGCCTCACGTTTACAAACTTAAATGCAAAGTCACATCTTCAGACATAACTTTCTCGAGGCAACTTTCTTGAATATGTACAGCACCTATGCAGTGTTTCACCCTAGTGTGTATGAACAGTAGTTGATAATGTCACCACTCTTAGGAGCTACAGTAAGGAGGTCACACAATATGCCCGCACTGCTTTGTTATAACTCTAGCTGAACGTACAAGTGTACTTACAAGTCATAGAGATGTATGATGTTTTCACTATTACGCAGTTTTTGGAGCAGTGTGATCTCATTGATATAGCCCTGTACGGTCATGTCGTCAGCGCAGTCCAACTTGACATATTTAATGGCTAGAACTTTCTTCTTATTCTCACTGAACACTTGGTACACCTGCAAAACAAAGGTTTAAGACAATATTCTTTTACTAGTTGAAAAACAAAAATTTGGTTCAAATGTCTGTTTTATGTGTCTTTAATATTACTGAAAGCTTACTTACGCACCAAGTTGAAAGCGTCATAATTTGCTGAAATGCAGTAAGATTAGCAACTTTTAGGAAAACAGAATTAAAATGTCTGCCGAAATGCAGCCTTCGCTTATAACGTCATGTTTGTTCTGCCCCCCCCCCCCAAGATCTCGGCCATCGAGTGACGAAAATTTTTGAAACTCAGTACATGCATAGAACAACTCTTCCTAAACATACCCAAATAATTTCATGACTATAGGTTAATAGGTTTTGGAATTATGGCTAAATAATTTTTCATATGTACGAATGGCAATTCTGCTCTGTGTACATGACGTATATGGGAAAATTCAGTTTTCGATTCTTATGTGGTCCGATTTTTATGTTTTTGGTATCAAAAGATGCGCAAAGCTCGAGGCTAAAAAGTCATAACAGCTTGGGTTGCGAAAACATTTTTTTTTATAGGCTATTGCAGAAAATGTTGAGGGGTGGGGGTGGATTCCGCCCCCCGCCCCCGGCCCTTTTAGGGTTAACTTGAAAAGCGATCGCTTAATTTCACTTTGCCGTGCTTTCGTAGAATCCTTACCTTTGATGAACCGCCTTTCCCGATGATTCGTAGGATAGTATATGTGACTTTATTGACAGTGATGACATCCTTCCTCTGTACAGGTTGGGGTACGGGCATTGGCGCCATCTTGCAAAGAAATAAGCGATTCACGGACAATATTACATTATGATCAATAAAAAAAGAGTAAGTTTTTAAACCACCTGTGATTTCTCATTTGGGTACAGGTTGCATCTTCTTCTCTCATTGTGAACTGTTTGCACAGTTTTGTATGGCCAAAATACATCAACATCAATACTTTTTGGGGTTAAATTATAACCAGCTGTATATATATAGGTTTTCCCGGCCAATTTCCAAAAATGTTCATTCACTTCTGAAAATCAGTCATTCATTTTCGTCGGAATTTGAGAATCGCTCTGAAAACGCGTTTCATTTTCGCTACCAGAGCATTGGATTCCATTTCAGTTCAATCAATTAAGTGATTGAGCAGCACTTTTCGTTTATGTCCATTCAGATTCGTTTACAAGATTTCTTTTTCGCTTTTAGAGGGCGATTTCAAACATTCACCATTCTATTTCACTTTTAGTTTAATGCATTCGGCACCAGAAATAATTAGGGGTTTCTTTTTCATTAACCCTCAATCAAATTAGCTGTACCTGAAATCAATTTAGAAAAAGTATGCTTGCGTCAATGAATGCACATGTAACGTAATTGGCCGTCTGTTTCTCAAAACCGAATACACGGACAATGAAAACGATTGAACTTTCGTTGAGATGAAATGGGATGAAATGTTTATTCAAATTCAGACGAAAACGAATGACCGATTTTCAGAAGTGAATGAACGTTTCAGAAAATTGGCCGGGAAAACCTATATTATAACTTTTTTTTTTTTAGAGATGACATCTGTATGCATGTTCCCAATTACATATCTTATCAAAACAATAACTGGAAAGGTAAAGCTATTCAGGATATTTTTTCTGCAAAGGATCTTTTGAAGGCGATAGACAATGTTTCTTACCATTTGCTGACTGTAATGTTGGTTGTTTCCATAGTAATGGATGGGTTTTTGATGGCTTGCCCCATTTTCTATCAGCGGGGGTTGATATGTAGGACGGGACACCGGAGGTTCAGGCTTGACACTGTGGATAAAAAAAAAGCAACAACAACATTAATGTATGGCACACCGCCAAGAATGTAGACAATAATTGGATATTAAAGTTGTGTTTCGTCAGCTGCAAAGGCAAATCTCAACTTGATCAATATTCAGGTCAAGAAAAAGAAGAAACATTGCGTTTACAGTAACGACCTTAACATTATCAATGTAGGTTGATCATGTTGGAAGGAAAACAATTTTTTCTGTAACTTTTTTATGTTTGTCTGTAGGTCTTTTATACTTGTGTTATTTTCTTTTGGATATCTTTAACGGTATTCTGTTTAATCAGCCTGTTTTATTGTTTAATTAACCAATAACACACAAAAGTTGCATATGGAAGACTTGTTTATTTTCAATAGCTTATTTTAAATTTTTGGACAAATGTGGCAATACAAAAATTGAGGTTGGCAATTTGGCAAAGAAAAAAAAATCTGTGTAAGTTTCAAATCGGGTTGGAACAATTACCTATGTGGTACATTTGGTGTTTCCTGGCTCACAGATGATGCATCTTGCGATATCCCCTTATCTTGCATTTGGTACAGTCCACTTTGCATTCTTTGCTGACTGGCCTGGGGCTTTCCATCATGTTGAGAAGGGGTGTGTAGGCGTAAGGTGTCTACATTACTGTAGTTTCTGGACAGTGTAGGAGGTCGTGGTTGTTCTGTAGATGGGGTGGTCATCATAGCGACACCTGAATCATTGCTCGTCTGCTGTGGCGATTCAATGATTGCCGTCAGTCTTTCGTTTCTTGAGTCACTCTTGTCCTCTCCGGGTGAGACGGTCTTCTCTAAAGGTTTGATGTCTGGGAAAGGGAAGTCATCGTCACTATCGTCAGGGTTGGATGGGGGGACTTCTTGAAGTATCAGTGAGGAACGTTTCACTCGCTGTGCTGTGCCATAAATAGGTCTTTAGAAAGAAAAAAAAATTATTACAATAAAATTTTGATATACATTGTACAGGGTGGTGCAAAAAGAAGGAAACCCACTTTTGACAGCAATTTTTACCTATTATAAAATGGAATTTTTGCGTCGGGGTGATATAAATCAAATTAGGTTTTGCCCTTCACCGATGTTTAAATACTGTATACTCAGTGTGTTACCTCCCGAGTGAAAGTTGGAAAAAATCACTCGGGTGGGACTCGAACCCACGAACTCCTGCTTTCTAGTGCAGATGTCTTACCACTCGACCACCGAGCTAACAGGATCAGTTGGCTGGTTCGAATCTGATGTACATAGCAGCAGGTACTGCATAAACTATTATAAGATGGAATTTTTGCGTCGGGGTGATGTAAATCAAATTAGGTTTTGCCCTTCACCAGGTTTTGCCCTTCTTCATTCCATCTTATAATAGTTTATGCGGTACTCGCTGCTATGTACATCAGATTCCAACCAGCCAACTGATCCTGTTAGCTCAGTGGTCGAGTGGTAAGACATCTGCACTAGAAAGCAGGAGGTCGTGGGTTCGAGTCCCACCCGAGTGATGTTTTCCAACTTTCACTCTGGAGGTAACACACTGAGTATACAGTGTTTAAACGTCGGTGAAGGGCAAAACCTAATTTAATTTTCACCTACTTGTTAAGCGTATTTCAAAAGTTCTTCGTGTCATATGTTTCCAATAGTAACCCCTGGGTGGGAACATAGCTGCCTTTGTCCTCATATTATACAGCAAAAGCAAGTCATGGATTCATATCGTGTACTTGGTGGTGTTATTTCCAACGTGTATTGGGTATTTTAATGTTCAATGTTAATGATTACATCCACTCCAGCTCAGAAACAATCTCCCTTTTCCAGGCATACAAATGCATCTAATGAAGACATGGCATTACCTGTTCTTTCTACGTGATGCTTCGCCTACACTGTAACACACAGGCAGACTTTTACAGTCAGGCGTGTAGATATTCCCTCTCTTCAGCTTGGATGCACTCTGCGACGTTACATTCCCAGCGGGTGCAACAGGACGGGATGCTACCTCCCACGGCTTATTGAACAGCCAGGGAATGGTGTCTCCATCATCTGAGCTGCTTGCTCCACTTGACTGCCGTTTCCTAATGAAATAAGAAACAAATGAATATTCATTAAATGAAACAACTGTAAATTAATGTAATATAGGTCAATTTAATCTCTTGACAGATAACTTAAAATATTTGTACCAAGACACATGGAGAAGAGTTATTGTCAAATAAAGTAGCATAAATACCACAAAGTAAAAAGGCATACTTTATTCTCTTTTCAACGTCAACAAACAATGTTCAACAATGATTTCAAGATCACTTAAAAAAACAAGTACCAAGTGGTACAACCCATGGCGGGTAACACGTTAAGACGGTAACGGCACCTCAAGAGTAAAGAAAATGAAAACTGTGCACGCACGCCTGTGCATAACGAACAGTCTTTGTCATGAACACAAAAATAATTTTCACGTTCCAATCAATGCAGGCATAGAAAATAGCGTTGGACATCACGACGAGTCACAGCGACAAGTCACATTTGCATAGCGACGAGTTCAGAAAGGTTTTGAAACTATGCAAAAACAATCATGACTATTACTTCCAGTGACAATCCACATGGCGCTGTTTGTCCCAAAGTCAATAAAACAGTTATTTTGTACCTTGTTTTGAGACTTGTCACTCGGTGTACATGAAATCACAGCCTTCACGACGTACCATACAACTGAACTGACAATCGCAAATTTTGCATTGCAATGGGGCGTGATTTAATATGCAAATTAGACACATGCGCATTAGTGTCATCAAAACAGTTATTCCAAACAAAGTCACTTGCAAAGCCGTGATACATTACACGCGTAGCATGGAAACAGTTTAACCCTAACCGCCCTGAATCCTCCAAAATCCTTTTTGCAAATTGGAGGAATTTGCAGGATTGAGGTTACATGGCCAAAGTGCGTTGCTGATTTCGGAGTACGCAGTGTGTCATGGTCTTGGGCTGGACCTTGTATTACTTATGCACAGCCGTGCATAAACTTAGTCCTTGATTATACTCGACATCCTCCACACTGCTCCAGGATGTCACTGCCTCTGCCTCAGCCTATTGACAGTCATAGCCGGAGGATTTTGCAGGATTCAGGCAGTGGTCACCCCTACGCGTGGACCATATTCCAGAAATAAAGGAGGAATTTGCAGGATTGAGGCTATATGCTACTTTTCCATGCAGTCAATTGGAAGATTTTGCTGGATTGAGGCTACATCCTAGCAAAAAGGCCTAGGGAGTACACCCGGATAAAATTGGCCGAGTAAACTGTCCACCAACCCACCCACCCACCAACATAGCGAACACAGGCCCACGGCGCGTTTTCAAGGGTACAGGGAAGAAAGCTGGATTCTACTACATCTTTTGCTGTCATTACCTGCCTCCTGATCGACCAAAGCTGACAGTTGAGTCCACATATTCCTGGAAGACCGGCGTTTCACCGTGAGCAGCCGCAGTGTCTGGTTTGGCTTGAGGCTGAGACTGAGCAGATAGCATTGCTTGATTGTGTTGTCTGTTTGTAGCCTGGCTGCAAGGTGGACCATTGGTGTGAGATGGCGTCAAGTGTTTGGAGAGTGGTTGCAGGGCTGCAATCTGGGGCTTAGTGTTCTCAAGAGAAGTAGATCTGGTGGCTGTAACTCTGATGAGAAAGAATATGTTCAGAGGATTACAAATCATTTCTAATGCTAGGTTTACACATTTCCGAATTAGTTATGAATACAACAAGAATAAACCAAGAATTGAAACTGGTTCCCAAATCACCCCGACAGTTTTCAACATGTTCAAATTTGTCAGGGCGCTTCCCGATCTTTTAACGATCTTTCACTGAACTAACAGAATCATCCCGAGGCTGCTAAGAACCATTCCCCAATTTACTCAAGAATTGGTATTCACAGCAATTCAGCTTAAAAATCGGGAATGTGTGAACCCAGCATTAGTAAGCATTTCAAATGGAAACACTTGCTAAACCTTCTGTTCCAAGTAGTCCTTTCACTTGTTTTCAACAGTTGAGAGGTCCCAGCCTACATAAAGCAGGATTGACTGGCTGTGACTGTTTATGTAACTTGATACAAACATGCTTTGACAGTAGGTGATTGATAAGCCAGCTGTGCTACAGTTTCCTGCTTTTGTCTGTTGACTGGATTTGACTAGTCACAGTGCTTGCATGAAATATGATCTGACTGTTTGATATTTGAAATATGATCTGATTTTAGGGCCCATATAGATCGCTGCAGGCAAATTTTAAATGGCACGATCTTCGTGCAACTTTTTACTGGCGCATACTAAATTATTAAAAATACTGCAAGTGAGACTTGCGCAATCCCCCCTGGCATGCTGGCAGTTTGTTATAAAGTCAGTGTCCCTAACCAAAATGGAAAATTTCTATTGTTTTAGCAAGAGTGACCTTGACCTTTGACCTGTCGGCCCCAAAAGCAACATGCTTCTTAAGACTATCAATAACAACCTAAAAACCAAATTTCAAGTTCCGAAGTAAAGTATTTCTGAAGTTACCACGTTGACAAGATTACTATTGTTTTAGCAATATAGTGACCTTGACCTTTGACCTGTCGGCCCCAAAAGCAATAGGCTTGTTAAGACTACCAAGACTTAATGACTATGCCCTAATGACTATGACAAATGGACTTACCTTGAATTTGGTCCAACAGGTGGTTTTGAGCCAGCACTGATCCATTGTCCCTGATCCCCTGTCGTCCTAGAATCACCATTCTCATCACTGTGTAGAGAAGTCATAGCCATGTTGAATCGTTGTACGGCTGTGGCTATCATCTGCTGGGGTTCCACCTTCAGATTCTTAGCTTTCTTCAAGATGTCCAGGCATTTGTCTCTGTTTCCTAGACCATGTAGAATTGAGTGGGAAAATCAATATTGGAGTTCGTTGAAATGGTACAGTCAAAGCAGCCCCCGCTAAATCGCTGTAACAATGATACACAGGATGCCCAAAGTGGAATGATCTATCAACCACTCACTGTTTGTCAAATGCTATACATGTAGCTGTCATTCCACTTGTTTGCCATGGGGTACACTGTATCTTAAAGTGAAGTATTGTATTAAATTAAAGAATAAATATGTGCTTGGCCGGTTTTAAATAAGTATGTTTAAAAGCGACTGAAAATGGCCTGAGCTGAAGGCACGGGACATTATCGGCAACCAGGCCCCGGCCTAGCCGGTTTTAAACACTGTGTACTTGTTTAACCCTAACTCCCTAGGTATTTTTGCTCGGATGCAACCTCAATCCTGCAAAATCCTCCAACTGCCTCCATGTAAACATTGTATAAAGCTTCAATCCTGCAAACTCCTCCGCTATTTCTTGAATATGGTCCATGGAGGGGTGACCACTGCCTGAATCCTTGCAAAATCCTCCGGCTATGACTGTCAATAGGCTGAGGCAGAGCCAGTGACATCCTGGAGCAGTGCGGAGGATTTCAAGTATATAGGCCTAAACTTATGCACGGCTGAGCATCAACAACACAAGATCCGGCCCAAGACCTTGACATAGTGCATCCTCCAAAATCAGCCACACCTTTTTCCACATAGCCTCAATCCTGCAAAACTCTCCATTTTGCAAAGAGGATTTTGGAGGGTTTGGGAAGATTAGGGTTAATACTGGCCAAGCACAGATTCATTCCCATTCATAAATACCTTTCGGTCAAAAACTCAAAACAATTCTTACATTCACAACGATTTTGTTCAACAATTTTACCTGTTTTGTTAAACATCCCTCTGACCATGCTTATGGTACGTGCCTTGCGTGCGTAGTACTAAATATCTCATATCATTGAGCTTGGCACATCACGTATTGCGTGATGTGATGCAGAGAGCAGCGTTGCAGGATAGGAATAAAGTTCTTGGTTCTTGGTTGGTTCTTCTCCTAAATACTCCACGTGGGAGTTTATACAGGAGGCCAGAAACACCGGGGCAAACCCCTTCTCTTAGCGATAAGTGTTTACTGGGCTCTTTTACGTGCATTATACAACACACGGGACCTATGGCTTAACGTCCCATCCGTAGGACGAAGCAATAATAGTTAAGTGCCTTGCTTAAGAGCACAAGTGTCCGCCGGCGGGCTCAAACCCACGTCACTGTTGCCTCTGAAACACCAGAACATGAGTCCGGTGCTCTTAACCGCTAGGCCATGACACTCCACTGTGTCACTCCACTGTGTCAAGTGTTTAAAACCAGCCTGTGGTTTCTCAGTGGTTTAAAACCACCCATGTGGCGGGCTCTCAACCAATAGAAATGGGTAAACTGTCTTAGATATTTATGAATAAATCTGAATGGCATCATGTTGGGTTTTGTAAGGACTGAAGGAAGAGATAACCTTCATGCACAAATTAACAACTGGTGTGTTACATATTCCACATCCGTGCAGTATACCTAGTGACCAACAACACGTCTCCATATCTTGGCTCAGCCATCAAATCATCAATTTTCCGAGTATACTTTGTGCACACATACCTTGGTCAAGCTCAAATTGCGCAGCCTCAACATGGACTATGGCTAACGTCTTTATGTTGGCTCTAGCATACTTGAAAAACATGCGGGCATCATCGGGATCATGGGTCCTGCAATTGTCACACAAAAAATAATAATAACTTGTTAGAGCAAAAGGGCAAGTGTACTTTGACTTAAAATAATGACACTTTTTCTCTGTGGTGGCATCACTGCTGTGGTAGCCTTGGTCAATGCTCTCGGTCATTATTCGTCGCATACGCAGTCAATCGTCGGCATATATCCTCACGCGCTATGCACATGCATGTAAAAATACAGCGCGAACAGCAACCTCACGCGGCCACTATTTTTATATGCAAATCGGTTGGGGACGATCGAGAGCCTTGGTTCAATCGTCCATGTGAGGTTTTGGGGGTGGTGCTCATTATGTTAATAGCCTTAGCTGACCTTAAATGTCGTTTTCTTATTGGTTGATCGTTGCGTGGAAACTTGCATAGTGAAACGTGGCACCGTACATAATCCATACACGCACACGTTGTGTGTCTCTGCACACGGCACCAATGCACAAAAACTGTGGTTCCTGTCACGTCCGCAAAAGGCGAATAGCTGCAAATAATTTGATGACGTCCGGATTTACCAAGGTGTGATTGGACACTCCACATATTAGCCCCGCCTACACTTATCTGTATTCGCATACGAGGTCGTGCGCTAGAAATCCAGAGCAAAATAAAGAAAAACATAAGCTTTTGCCGACGATTGAACCAAGGCTCGAGATCGTCTCCAACTGATTTGCATAAAAATAGTGGCCGTGTGAGGTCGCTGTTCGCGCTGTATTTTTTCATGCATGTGCATAGCGCGTGAGGATATATGCCGACGATTGACTGCGTACGGGACGAATAACGACGAGAGCATTGACCAAGGCTACTGCTGTGGTAACAAATATGGAAATTTACATTGGCATAAAAACACTTTAAAAAATCTGTCCGCATCCGGAGGCCACGTTACTGTTTGCACAATCTCACTTACATTTTAAGTTTGGCAAAGTTGATGCAGATCTGAGCGTAGGCTGGATTTGTTTTGTTCTTGTCAAGAGCGATGTGTTTGAGGGCGCTGTTGTACATGCTGCAGAGTGACCGATATCTGTTGGTTGTGTCTGAAAAGTGAGGGTCCGTCTCCAGACGTCGTAGGTAGCCAAGCCAGTCTTCTGGCCGGCAACCAGCCTCCATTATCCGTTGGACTTGCACTGTGAAATCTGCCATATGGGAAAGGAAAACCATTCTCATTCATTTGTTGTCCCTGCACTTAAGTTTGATTCAGGTAAATTGTTTGATCACATATTTCGTTTTGTACCTTTAAAAGGAGTGAATAAATGAGATGCTTGGTGACACGATGAACCTAAAATAAAACGAGAAAAGGTTTGTTCCCACAAGATAAAAACAAATTCCTAAACATGTTATACCGTTAAGTATGCAAGCGTCTAGGACAAAAAGCCTCATTGCAAATACTGTTTGAGTGAATTTGCATGATGGGTGACAAGTGGGCCATTTTGGGAACAGAAAAGGCAAATATATATGTAGTGCCCTGTTCTCCTTCAAACAGTGCTTTGTGTGCTTTTTTGAGTTGTGCAAACAGCGGACTGAATGAAACTCAAAAGTGACATTCTGATATTTCTTGACATGTCTGAACAGCTGGTTATGACACCTTCTTGAACATCAGCAGTTTTAATTTTGTGTGAAGAGGGCAGGGCTTTGATTTATGAGGGAAATTATGGGGTAAAAGACGACAAGGACAACCCCAAAACAGGCTCAAAAACCAAGATGGCAACTTTGAAAGCTGGATGCAATGAAAGCTTGATGCTGATTGGCTGATAACAAAAGTAAAAATATTTTTTCTACCAGCCAATCAGCATCAGGCTTTCATTTTGACTGGCTTTCATGCATGTTGTGAGAACTCAGGTCTCACGCCTCTGACTGCAAAAAAAAGGAAGGTATTTTATTTGAAAGTGCATTTCAAAATTACAACAAACATGAGTTATCTGAAGAAATAAGACTGCTTTAGCCTGCAAAAGTTACTTTGGTACTGGACTTGGTATTCGAACTCCACTTCTGTTCAATAATTTCTAGCCCCTGTACGATTATTTCCTCCATTTTCTTCCTAGAGGCTCACCCTTTCCTTTCCTCCAGTCCTCTTTATTAATTAGTTACTTACTTTACGGAGTTCCATGGGGATTTGAACCCCGAACCCATGCTTTAACTTTGCGCTTATTCAAAATTATTCAATGCATTTTCTATTTACAACCCAACAGTTATAACACACATTCTCTCGGTATTAAAGTCTCAATTTGGTATCCTAGGTCTAAATATGTGATGCGATCAAGCTGCACGAATGAGTCGTTTGCCGGGAATTTTCATTTGGAGATACAAGCCAAAATAGGACCACTTCATCACATCTCTTGGTGTTCCGACTTCCATAATTTTTAAAAGTGGATTTTGTTCCAAAAGGAAATGGGAATCCGAGCCTGTAGTAGCTCAGGATGGACTCTGACTCTGTTGGGTACACAACAGAGTTCAGGGTACGAATGTCTGTTGCCATAGCGAAAAAAATTATAAACCATTTTAAAAATATTTTTACCTGACAGAGGAAGGAAGCTGAAATCTCGTTCACATATTCCTTGTGCCCATTATTATAAAATCAGTTTGAATCTTTAAAGAAGAGGAGCTGGACTGATTCGAATTAAATAATCAATTAGGAATTTCCTAAATATTAAAAACTAGTCTAAATAAACAGTAACTTTGTATCGGGGCGAAGTGGAAATGGGGCAAAGTTAGCCCAATGTGGCCAATTTACTGGACTACCTCCGTAAATAAAGGCCACACTTCCACCATGTACAAAAACATGTCGAACTTTGTCAAATTTTGATTTTCACATTTAGGCTTAGTTTGTAGTTTATTTTTGCTTTAGAAGCATACTCACCCTCTTTATAAATATAGGCTAATAATCAGAAAGTGCTGCCTTTTTCAGATGTCTATTTTTCGTGAAATTTCCAGATTCGTTTGCACACGTTTGCGTATCAAAATTTCAACATGAAATTTCACGAAAATTAGACATCTGAAAAAGACAGCACTTTCTGATTAGCCTATAAAGACGGTGAGTATGCTTCAAAAGCAAAAATAAACAACAAACTAAGCCCAAATGTGAAAATCAAACATGTCAAAATTTGACAAAGTTCGACATGTTTTTGTACAGTATGGTCATGATGGTGGAAGTGTGGCCTTAATTTATGGAGGTAGTCCAGTAAATTGGCCACATTTATGGCGATCGTGAAGTGTAGGGCCCCTGTTTTGTTTAGATCAAATTAGAGTCACCAATGTTTTTTATTTATCAAAAATCACCTTCACCATGTTTACAATCAAAAGCATACTTTTCTCAATTCTAATGACACCCGTTTTGCAAAATTTTGTGAACAGACATGACAGATTCTTGGGGTAGAAATCACAATTTTCTTGCACGGTTTGTGCCTTGCGATTCAGCGCACCATGCATGCTCATGGTTCATTGCGCGGTGATCGCCACCTTTATCATGTTGTTTATTTTCGGGTTGCGTGTTTTCGCTGCGCTGTCATCATCATTTTACCCCCAAATTTCCCTTAAAAAAATCAAAACCTTGCCTTCTATCTATGACATACCTGTTTATTGAAAACACACCAACTAACTAGTTTGGTATGTCGATAATTTTAAAGTGGATTTTGTTCCGGGCCCTACACCATGTACACTGTACACGATCGCCACATTTATGGGGCTAGGGTAGGATAGGGCATGTTTAGCCCCATAAATGTGGCCTATTTACTGGACTGCCTCCGTAAACATAGGCCACACATCCACATGTACAAAAATCGTGTCGACGGAGCCAAATTTTGATTTTCACATTTAGGCTTAGTTTGTAGGATTTTTTTGCTTAAGAAGCATACTCACCCTCTTTACAGGCTAATCAGAAAGTGCTGCCTTTTTCAGATGTCTAATTTTTGTGAAATTTTATGTTGAAATTTTGATACGCAAACGTGTAAAAATGAATCTGGAAATTTCACGAAAAATATACATCTGAAAAAGGCAGCACTTTCTGATTAGCCTATAAAGAGGGTGAGTATGCTTCTAAAGCAAAAAAAACCTACAAACTAAGCCTAAATGTGAAAATCAAAATTTGGCTCCGTCGACACGATTTTTGTACATGTGGATGTGTGGCCTATGTTTACGGAGGCAGTCCAGTAAATAGGCCACATTTATGGGGCTAGGGCATGTTATGCATGTAGGGCGAAGTAAGTTGGATGGGGCAAAGTTGGGATGGGCATGATGGGGCAAAGTGGGGACGGGGCAAAGTGGCGACGGGGCGAATGGGGCGAAGTGAGGATGGGGCCGGGCAAAGTGGTTAGGGGCGAAGTGATGATATGGGGCGAAGTGGAAACGGGGCGAAGTGACCGACACCCGTGACGAGTGTACGTTCCGTCATGTCCGTGCAACAGTCATGACAGTGAAAAGTGAACGATCGTTTTCGTTGTTTTTTTTTACTCCGATATTTTATTTTATAATTATAGTTAGGCCTATACCAAATAATCGCGATTCACTCCTTCTTTAATTTTTTCATAACTATTCTGTAATACTTACCCATTGTGAAACAAACACAGAGCCCTTTCAAAACTTAAGAATATGATGCCAAAATAACTGTCAGTTTTGTCGGTGTTTTGGCCGTCAAACGAGCTTTAAAAGCCCCGCTAGTCACATGACCTTGCTTCGTGTTTTGATTGGACAGTGTTACCCAAATTTCGTTAGTCTATAGAGGGCGCATGTCACAATCTATGGATGGCGAAATATTTTTTTGTCAATAGAGGGCGCAAGTCCAATTAACGGACTATACTTTTTCTTTCAATCACCGATTCACGGGCGTGGCCAGACCAATTTGCTGAGGTGTGGGGGAGGGGTACACAAAATGTGCAGACTGACCATTTCGCCCTGAAACTTAGTCAGGAATTTTGTCCTATATAAGCTAAATTTATTAACCTCTTTGGTTATTTTTGCGATTCGATTAATAATATTCTGAAGATTAATATCAGATTCATAACTTGCTTTTCTTTTTATCCTCCATAGGATTCGCAATTTCTGTGCCACCAGGTCTTGCAGGCGACCTGCTGTGCCGTCTACTTCTGTCCAAGTTCCCCCTCTGGACCAGCTTCATCGCCTCGGTGCTCACTTTGACCTGCTTCACCTTAGGGGCCATTCAGAATTTTCAATGTTTTAAAATTTCGACTATTTTTCCAAATTGTGGGTGGGTGGGTCTGACACACACAGAATAATGTATAGGCTATACAATTATGAAAAATGATAAGATCAGATATAAACATCTAACGGGCCTGACCCCCCCCCCCCCCCCCCCCCGTCCGCCAAAATTTCTTGATCCGCCCCTAATACCTGTTTCAGGCTACATAATAATAGTGTTCATTGTCGCGTAACGACAATACATGTTTAGCACACGGCCTACGGCTAATGAGGCTGCCGTATACAATTTTCCAAACAAAACAGTTGATTCATTATTGCCCGAAATATCGACTTCGATTCTGTTCGCCCATGGAGCCAAAACAGATGCACACAGCATATGCTCCGGGTTTCTCCGCCTATTATTCAGACAAATTGTTTTTGAGGAGAATTCCAAGGAAGCCTGATGGCCGAGTGGTTAGATTCGTCGTCCACGAATCGCCGAGCCCGTTATCGAATCCCGTCGGTGTCTTTTTGCTTTTCAACGCACGCGTTCTATTCAGTCATTATAAGATGTTTAATTTCCCGTCGTAAAATACCAACGGTACCTTAGCTTAATCGGTAAGCTCTGCGGCTGGTACTGTCCGTGAGCTCCAGGTTGGCGCCTTCGTACAGGTTCAGGGCATGTGGTCCACTCGGAGGATCAGGGCTTAGGGGCCGCCCTGTTCCTCCCTTAGCTCTTCGCTTTTACATGGTGCCTGGCCCTCCGGGGTTATATGGATGGACATGGAAGGTGTGTATTGGCCGGGACACCCGAGAGCCCAGAAGAGAACTAAGGGGCGGGCTGGGGCATTGTTATGGCTCAGACCGACCCCTGAAAGCTTGGCTAGCACATAACTTTTTGATTTTTTTTATCCTCTATTTTTTTTTCAACTTTGGTTTAGTTTGATATTTACAGCCGCTCGGCAGGTCTACGGTAGTATCAAAAACTAAACCAAGGTCTGTGTCATCAATCAATAAATATTTAGCAATTGACTATTGGCCTAATCAAAACGAAGTTTCGTTCGATCACTATGACTATACCATTATTCATGGCTCTATTTCCAATTGACGTAAGAAACGCCATGCAATAACATACCGGGGAAATAAGGATGTACATTGTAATATATATATTAAGGGCCATTCAGAATTTTCAATGTTTTAAAATTTCGACTATTTTTCCAAATTGTGGGTGGGTGGGTCAAGCTAAATAATTGAAAATCGAAATTCACTCTTCATGGAAAAAAAGATCCAAGTCTTTTGACTTTTGTTTGTTGTCGAAAAGTTGCAAAGAGACAACTTTTGCCTCCGCCCAGCACTCAGCAGCAATGGATTTTTTCCGAAAGGACACGCAACCCGCACAATTGAAAATTCTGAATGGCCCCTTAGAGAGGTACTCAAGCATCGTGCACCCCTTCCGCTACGAGGCGCTCTTCACCCCCCGGAAAGCCATCGGCATGATCATTTGCATATGGGCCATGGCCGTGCTCATGAATAGTTATTTCTTCTACATATTTTACAGCGACGGCGGCCGATGCATCATCTAGTGGCAGAGCACGGCCTGGCGGACGTCTGTGGGCGCGGCCAACTTCTCGGTCATTTACATCTTCCCGCTGAGCCTGATGGGCTTCTCCTATTGGCGGATCATGCGTAATTTGCATAAGAGCATCATGAATATGCGCCAATCAACGTCGTCAAATGGTACAGAGAACCAGCTGTCGAGGGATCTCCTCACCGCGCGCAAGAAAGTCGTCAAGATGCTGCTCACGGTCGTGGTGACTTTCGCCGTCTGCTGGGCTCTAAACCAGTTCATGTTCTTCGCCTACATGTGCGGCTGGAACCTGAACTTCTCTGCCTGGTATTACCACGCCAGCGTACTGCTTGCGTACGGTAACTCGTGCATGAACCCGATCATTTATGGATTTAAGAGCAAGCAATATCGTGGAGCGCTCAAGAAGGCACTTGGCTGTAGAAACAAAGTCGGGGCTCGCGCAAATATGTTATGTAGCATCACAACTTTTGGTGGTACCGCAGAGATAAGAGGCTGTCCGGAAGACCAACGGCCGGAGGACTACATCAGGCCCAGGTGAAACAATTAATAATCATTTGTGGCTGACAAACCACATGGAGCTTGGTTCGCCTGTATGATACACCGTAAAGAAGCAGAGCTAGCGCAAAAGACCACATTGGAAAAACTGAAGTGTTTTTATTTTTATATTTAAAGTCGAAACATCATGAACATGCACTTGTGATTTGAAACTTGCTTTGCACAGTACTTTGTGCACAATGAAAACCACGCAATCGCTTTTTAAAGGGCCTGTGCAGTACTTTTGTCTAATCACGATTTCTTGAATATACAAGTAATTGTGTATTTATATCGCTGCTACGTCAGTATTCATTTGTGTAACAATCTACATAAGGTGTGTACCATAAGAAGCATCTGGAATCACCATAACTATCACCACTGTCGACCAATAAATAAAGTTAATTATATTTTTATTCGACTAGATAGCATAACATTGAGCAATTTATTGTACACTTATGCAGTTATTTGAAATATGAAAAATTAAATTGTCTGTAGTTTATAGCTTGCGCTGTTTCAGTTTTCACAAATGTCAAAATATCGCAAAGGAAGTGCGAACACAGTTTTGCAAGATGCCGCTGACTACCAAGCTCCCTCGAAGCCTTTAAAATACAAAGGAAGCTTCTTGAGTAACGATTGTACGCTTGGGAGTACTATCACAAAAGAGTGACTCGTTTTGTTAATTACATCGCGTCGTGTCAATTGCCGAGGCCAGCTGATTACAACGCTGTTGTCAGGACAACGTTGGGACAACAGATAAACCATAAAATTATGCCATGAACATCCACGTCACCTCTGTATTCCCCTTTAAAAGAACGTATACAATGTACTTTACGCAACTTGTTACTTGAGCAGACGTCATGGACCGGCCTAAATTTTAAGAGGGATTCCGAGATAAACACTGAAGATTTATTCCTAAAAGGCTGGAAATAGCGACCTGTAGTGGTGAATTCTGAAGCCAAATGCCGTTTGATTCGATGAATGGGCTCTATTAAAGCTTCTTCAGTTGTTAATTATACGCTTGGGATTCATAAAAGAGAGTCTCGTTCTATTATATCGCTTCGTGCCAATCTCCAAGGCCTATTGATTTGGAGTGTTGTTGTCAACGTAATGTGAGGTCAAACTTGATGAAGCACAAATGCCAATCGCAAGCACGGCACCGTTTTATTCACGTTTGAAATATCAGCTACGTGACTGATGCGAATTATACTTAAATATTGGAAATACATAGGTAGAATTCGAAGACTAGCTTTTTGTAAAGGCTAGTTTTGGAAATTATCAATCAAACCGTACATGCTGTGAGAGACCAAGCATTAATAGGGGATATTTTTAAGATTTGAAGGTTTGCATGGTGCAAAAATACTAAGACAAGATAAGTTTGCGGTGACACCATGTGAATAAATCTCTATTGTGAGTATGTGTGGTTCTGAAAAGAACTGGAGGGACTCAACGTTTCGAACAGTAAGCTCTGCCCGTCGTCGGGAGAATTTTTTACATTGCCTTAGTCTAGTTCCCAGACGTATTTACTTAAAACTGAATGATTCTTAAGTCAGAAGTGCTTGATTGTAACACATAGAAACCGACGAAAAAGCACGTGCTAATGAAAAGAGGTTTTAGCCTAGGTTCAGCTGACCATGACGTAATACCTCCCACGCCCACAGGGCGGTGCGGCATTCAGTCGAGCCAATGAAAACATCGTTGCACTAGCACGTGAGTTTTCGTCGGTAGCTAATGTTACCATTCAGCACTCCAGACCAGACTCGACTCAAGAACCATTCAGTTTTACGAAAATGGGTCTAGGAACGCGATCAGCAGTTCTCAGAAGTTCCTTGATGTCCGCGCCAACCTATAACTCTGGATAACCCATTAGCTGTTAGAAGGGCAGTCACAGGCCACCATATTACAACTCCCATAACAATAAACGTGCAAAGAAATCTATTATAATATAACATCTTAAATTCTTCATCTTTTTTTGTTAGGCTTTCCCGGCTATTTTAAAACGTTTATCATTCGAATTCACCATTCCTTATATTCAAATTCGTCCATGAACATCGATTTAGTCCACTTCAGATGTTTATTTCATCTTTTGTCAGACAATTTCAAATTCATTTCAAGCATATTCAAACAATGAGCACACGTTTTCCTATACTTGGGTATTCGATTTCGTCTCGTCCATGGGCGTCGCGAGGGGGGGGGGCAAGGGGGGGCACTTGCCCCCCCCCCCCCCCTGGAAAAGCAACAAAAAAAAAAAAAAAAAAAAAGGAAGATAAAAAAAGAAAAAAAGAAAAGAAAAAGAGGCGCGAAGACAAAGTGGTGTAAATTTAATGAGTTGGGGGGGGGGGCAAAATGTCCCTGCCCCCCTCTTAAACTGATAAATCGAGAAAGTGTTGAGAAATACAAGCATTTTTTGGCAAAAATTTTTTTTGCCCCCCTCTAGAAAAAATCCTTGCGACGCCCATGGTCTCGTCAATGCCAAAACTTGTTATTCAGAAATCAAATTCGTCTTATTGATTTATATAAGACGAGTTCGATCCCTGAATGCTGCCATTTGTCAACAGCTTACTGAATTAAATCTGTAATGACGAATATTCGCGACCCTGTGACTTATTTTAAAGAGGGTGACCACATTTTGAAATTGAATGGTAAATGACTAAATTGGGTTTGTTAAAAGCGTGTGGAATTTTTCTCGGACAAAATTGAATGTTAAATTTAATGAATATGAATGAAAAATGTTTTTTTTTTTCAGTCGGGAAATGTAGTCATATTTTAAATAGTTAAAAATAATGTTTGACTATACAATTTTTTTTCCATCAATGTTCGATGGGAGTGGTTCGTACTGGTTCCCGTAGCATATCCAAATGGAGAGATTTGGAACCAGCGCGTAGCTTCAAATGCATGTACAGCGCGCAATGGTCGATGAGCTATCCACGTTTTTACACATGAAGATCAGTGGAGCTACACCTTTTAAAGGGGATTCAAAGTTAATTACTGAGACTGCTTCACTATGTGACATCAACTAAACTGTTTTATTAGCAATTAAAAGCGAATAGTGTTTCCATCCAGTTACTTTAATTTTTCGTAAATCTGATCATCCGGAAAAAAACCCATACAATATGCGACTGTCAATTCGTCACCGTCACCACGAAGTGACACTAACATCGAAAAATCGATATTTTGCGATTTTGATATTTTCCTAATTTGTGATTACTGACACATAATGTATCACCTTTTAAGAAGTTACTATACACAGAGTTAATTAGTTTTGTCAAAATATTAATTGACATTAATTAACGTTTGTAACTTAACAGGTAAAAACCAGAAAATGCGTTTTTACGAAGTGTACTATAGTACCAGTCTTTCGCGTGCAAACTGCCTGCACACTACGTGTCAAAAACGGGTTTTGCGTTTTCACGAAGTAACATAAATGCCACGCGATATGCCCAACCCAATTTGGGCGTTTTCACGAAGTAACGCTAAGCCCATAGAAAATACACATGCTTGGCGTCATTTCGCGAAAACTCCAATACAGCGTGATCGATTTTGGAGTTTACACGAAGAGTACTTATGGTTAATTAGTTTGATTACTCATTAATAACATTTTGTTCAATAAAAATCACACATAAACGTGCCATTCCAGATCCAAGCTTTCAGACAATGCAACAAAATATGACTTGAGGCTAAAACGATATTTAGATCACCGTTTCAAAACATCGTCAACTGAAATCACTAGTATCTCGAAAAACACATATTTTCCACTTAGCGGGGATTAAAGTCGCTTCGTGGTGACGGTGACGTTGTTTACCCCACTGCTCCCCCACCAGGGACTGCCACACCCAAGACGTGGGGACTGTCACTTTTGAAGTTACAAAATCAACACCCCTCGGGCAAAATGTATGTGACAATCTCCGACCGTGCTCCGACATACATACGTGGGGAGCAGTAGTGACTGCCTTACCATGTAGCACGCCAATGGTAACAATGTATTTTGAGTGACCAAAATCCTCACCCTGGGTCTTGAAAAACGTGACCAAGTCCCAACATAGGACCGTGGGGCAGTGTGGGGGGGGGGGGGGACATTTGACAGGCGCATTACGTCAAGCAGCGAGCAAGTATGTATCATTTTCGTCAACACACCAAATGACATTTTCATCGTTCACTTCATCTTTCCAGATGAAGCAATAGGCTTATTATATATATTAAAAAAAAGATAAATGTAGACAGATAATGTGCATGATATGATAAATAGGTCGTGCCGAATTATACGTGGCTGCGGCTGCAAATTACAACCATGGACAGGTGTAATTTCAAGCCGCAGCCCGGTAGTTCGGACACGCCCTTTTGTAAATCTAACAAAAACCGAATAATCGTGACACCACACGTAGCCTTGACCAAGGCTGTCAAGCTTGTTCCCCGGACGAGCTTGTTCCCGCTACCGCACACCGTACCTGTACAAGTCCAAGGCTCAACGCAGCGCACACTAGCCTCAACGGTCCCCTGAAATTCTTCTGCTTGTGCTTTGCCTGCACAAGTACATGTAGTACACAAGTACATGCCTGATCGTTAAGGCTGGCGCTAGTACCATTAGTGTGCGTGGCGGTGTGCCAATAGTACAACTACATGTACAGGGATACCGGACAAAATTAATCAGCCTAAGCTGTACAGTATTGGGAACAAGTTACTTGGAGAACAAGCTTGACAGCCTTGGTGAAGGCTACACCACACTTGGTTTTTCTCTGTAACTGAAAGGTAAGCTGAATTGTTTACAAAACAACACACGAAGGGTTTCATTAATACGATAATGAGAATAAAATTAGAGCTGTCGCATCAACAAATCAACGCTTAAATAGATAAGTGCCTCTTTTGGTAGCACATAGGTGCATAACGTAAATATTGAAAATGACTGCAAAGTTGAATTAAAGCTGACATGCAAGCTCTTTACACCGAACATATAAACGCTAATAGAAAGTTTCAAAGTGATAATCAGATATGCCATAAAGGGCGTCCGACTAGGTGCATGCATAATATAGCTATAAAGTGGGGCGAAAAGATTGACATGAGAGGGAGTTGAATCCGCAACCTCCACATTACCTTACCGGTAATTCGGAGTGCTAAATTCCGGCGGTTACAGGTTCGATTCACGCTCCTATCAGTTTCTTCGTTCAATAATAACTATAATAATAACTAGGTTTATAGTGTCCTTGTTGATATCGTTCTCTAAACTCTGTTGATAAAAGATTTTTAGCATTATTTTCTTGACTTTTAGTGCGCGTTACAACTTTAACTATATATGACATTAATATATCACTGATTTCGACAAAAGGTGAGCTTAATGATTTCACACAAAGTGCATAAAGTGTTTTAATAATAATAAAAGATTATGAAAAATTACAGCTGACACATTTCACACCGGTCAAATCAACGCTAGTTTTGCGGTCAAAAATAAGTTTTGCGGTTTATAGGGCGACACATTATGTGTTGCCCTAATAAGGTGTGTCGCCCTATTAGAGCAAAAGGTGTGTCGCCCTAATCGT